CTCGATAGTGCTCCAAGCATGGATGAGCCGAAAACTTCTTGGTTGCGAAGGCTTATGAACAACCTCTTGAGTTGTACTCGAGAGCAAAGGAGGGATGTCGTGGCCTATCCTCCCATTCCCGCTCCGGCACGCCCATCATTCCGTGATGGTGAGCCCATTGTGCTCCGGTTGAGCCCCCACGAAGGAGCAAACGCAGGCCTCTCCCTACTTTCGAAGAGGTGCGTACAACTCAAGAAACCGAGCTCCATGAACCATTTGAGTACGAGTGGGCACCTGCATCGGATGTCGCTGGAGGTTCATCCCAGAGTGAACAAAATTTTTGCTCATTTCCACCATCAGCAACATAGTTCGATGTATCACACCCCGCATCAACAAACCCCTCACCGCCCGATTTACCAGCAGGCTACCGGTCCACCTCAGCCCCCTCCACCGCCACTTGTAACTCCAGTAGGGGCTCGGGTTAAGAGAAATCCGCGACAAGCCGTTGAGCTAGCCCGCCAAGAAGCAGAAGGAGGAGGTGGAAGAAGGGGTCGAGGACGTCGTGGAGGACGAGGAGGAGGGCGAGCGGAGGGCCAAAATGAGGGGCAACCAAATGAAGAAAACCTGTGATTTGAGTTTGAGTTTGCATTGTCGTTGAGTTATCCATGTTGTTTTTAAAATTTTTAGGTCTTGTGATTTGAGTTTGCATTGTCTAAAAACTATCCTACGCACTTAAGTTGTCATTGAAACACTTTATTGATGATATTTTTTGTTTTATTTTTATGGATCAATTTATCAATAATTAGTATCTAAGCTCAACACGAAAAACTTGAGAAAATCAATCACGATCATGTAGAATTTTACAGATCTCAATTCCGAGTTAAAATGAGTGAGATAAGTTAGTTCAAAGCTGCACATGTCGTTAGAGTAACGTTTGCGTACCTAAAACTAAAACGAACGTATCTTATTCGTTTGGCGTCGAAATAACGAGCCGTTTGCAGCTACGCGATCGTATCGACAAGGAGAACATTTTTTAGTGAACAAAGGCGTAATGAAAATTAAACAGAGTGTTTTAAACAACGGGATAATGAAAATTCAAACAAGCTTACAATTTAGTACAACATTACAAGTAAATGAATATTAAGATAGATGTCTTGTACATCATTGGTCCTCGGTTATATCCGCATCATGCTGGAGTGGTTGGCCTGGGCAAAGCCTCTTGTCATGACCAGGTTGTCTGCACTTTGAGCATCGCTTCGGTCCCCGCCTCGTGCGTTCAACTTGATACATCTCATTGTGTATCCTTTCAACTCTAGGACGACCCTTTGTGCGTTTTAGGTGCAACGGTGGGATAATCAACTTCCCAGCGTATATAGGCCAATACACTTCATCTGGCATGGGACTCGAAGCTGCATCATATGAGTTCCGTATCGCCTGTTCAGTGTAGTAAGGACTCACCAGAGTGTTTCTGTTCATGGTTAATGACTTAGCTATTGCCATTGCATGTGAACAGGGGATTCTCTCGTTTTGATATTTTTGACATGTACACTCCCCTGATTCGTAGTGCAGAGTAAACGTTTGACGATTGTGGCCACGTCTACCTCCACCCCATACACCTGTTTCCACTGCAAATATCCCTTCACTGCGATCGAAAAGAACAACTTTATGCTTACTTGATTTTTCTTCGTTCTTCTGCATTTGCTCAAAAACGTCATGTGCTATCGGATGACCAGATATCTCCCTCCCAATCGCTAGGTGCAGCCGAGCCACCCGCCACTCGTTAACCTTCCGGTATGACATCTCCACTATGACAGAAATAGGCATCGCTCGAAGGCCCTTGTACACATTATTTATACTTTCTCCATGGTTGGTAGTTGTAATGCCCCATCTGGCCCCGTTGTCCATATGGAACGTCCACATGGCCAATTCTTGACCTTCAGCCCATACTGCTCCAACTCGGTGACTCTGACGGATCGCCTTCATCTTCTGCTCGTACTTTTTTGGCTGATGTGCAACCGCTGCAAGGTGAACAATATAGAAATGGTCAGTACATGATAAACAACAAATTATTAAACACATAGATAACTCGCATTAAAGGACATTAGTACCTGCATGCCACAATTGATTTTTTATGTCTTTCTTCTTTCCAAATTTGTGTTGGAAGTTGGCGAGCCAGTGTCGAATACACCAACGCCATGTCCATCCCCACTCGTCATGAAAACCACCTACGGCATTCCTAATCCCCGCGTGTCTATCGGATATAATCGTAATACCCTCCCGCTGTGTCACGTGCTCGTGTAGTTGGTCAAAGAACCATGCCCAACTTAAGCTGTTCTCCCCTTCCACTATTGCAAATGCAAGGGGGAAAATCCGCTTGTTTCCATCAACGCCAGTGGCAATGAGAAGAGTTCCTCTGTACTTCCCAGTAAGGAAGGTTCCATCAACCTAATTAAATATTAGGAAGTAATTAGTATGAAATTTACTTGGTCTGCAAGAATAGAAACATTTCAAATAGTAAACACGTATTAAAATACTTGAATAACCGGTATGCAGAACCCAAACCCGTCAATGCATGGTTTGAAAGCCCAAAAAATACGGTGAAACATCAACTTCCCCTGTACTCGAACTTGATCCTCAATGTATACATTGTTGTATACTAGCACGAAAACAGTCCCAGGGTTTGACACCTCCATTGCGGCCATAAGTCTAGGGAGTAAAGCATACGAATCCTCCCAATCACCATACACCTCAGCCATGGCTTTCTGCTTTCCATGCCATGCTTTTTTGTACCTTATCGTGTAAGAATGTCGATCCTTCACCTCGGCCATGATAGCTTTGACTTTGATATCTGGTTGTGCTTCGATAAGGTGTTTAATAGTTCTCCCAATTTTCTTTGCTTTAAGTTGCGTGTGATCCTGGGAACGTATGGACGAGGAGCAAGTGTGGTTGATCTCGGCTTTTCGAATCACCCAGGCACCCTTTCTCTTCATATTTGCAGCCCGCAGTTGCCATGTACAGCCCTCTGCATCATTCTTGCATATGACATGTAATTGTTTACTGTCAGAATATTTTACCTTCCACTCGAAGTTGCGCCTCAAGGCCTCTTCGGTAAAGGCATCCTGCACAGCGTCCTTCGATGAGAACGTCATACCCACCTCCAAATCGGCTGTCGGATTATACACTGGCATAAGGACAAAGTCGGTGGCATCATTCTGACTATGTAGAAATTGAGTTGGAACCTGTGTGTAGTATGGCATGGGTGCCTCATGAAATGTACCCTCGTCGTCGTTATCATGAGTATCTTCCTCCTCGCTCACTGATCTCAAATCTTCCTCAGTATCCTCGTCGCTTGAGTCAAATGGATAGCTCGGCCCAGAAGGATCAACATGACCACCATCACCAACATCGTCTTCTCACTCAATTGAAGTACGCCCTTCTCGAATGGTATTCTCCATTTCAGCCCACTCAGGCCCCCAAGCAGGCCATTGAACGCCATCGGCAGGTTGATCCTGTTGCGAGTATTCTTCCGACGGCACCTATCCTGCACTACTACCTCCACCGTAGTTGATTGAACTACCACCCTCTCCATAACCTCCTGTATAACCACCTCCTTCGTAGTTGCTCGAACTACCACCCCATCCGTACCCTCCTGCAAAACCATCATCATAAGAATACTGGTGAGAATGAGTTTCACCGACCGCCTCGGTCTCAACATACACCTCTGCAAGCCGCATCCTATTATCGCTTAGGAACTCCAACATCATCGTAACCGCGTCATCATCGTTTATGGCAACTTCTTGGTACACAACCCCGCCAGCACTCATGTCTGGATACCGGTAACTAATTTTGCCAAGTCTCGTCTGTCCGCTCGTACAAACCCTGTCTGCACAAATATCACGGAGTTCTTGAAAATTGAATCGCGACTCAATTTTCAGCATAGTGGATTCACCGTTCTCATAATCAATCCCTATAGCAGAGTTTGTCACCCTTCCATTCCACCGAATAATAAGCCGAAACTTCTTGAATTTACCCATATCTACAATTTACAACAAGTTAAACTATTAGTTTAAAGACAGTAAAATTAACCAAAACCATATTGTACGACTAATATTACTCCATCTCATAACTGACGTAACATAAATTCAACTAACTAACAACACCATAAATTCAAAAATTAAGTACTACAATTGCTACGATAAGTAATTCATAATAACATAACAATATAACTGCTAAAAACATCATTACGCTATAATACGAAAATTAAATCATACTATAACTACTAAAAACCCATCATTAACCTATAATACGAAAAATAAATCATACCGAAAATTCCCCGCCTGTGTATTATGCTCGGTTTTGGTTGCTGAAATTTGAAGAGGGGGGGAGTGGTTTTGTTTCTGTAAGTGCTGGTGGGCTGGTATTTATAGTAAAATCTGCCTAATGTTCACCGTTTTTGTCAAACACAGTGAACACCATCACCGCGTTTGTCTCAAACGGTGAACATTAGGTAGCTCATACCTAATTTTCACCTAACAGGGGTTGAAACGTGCCTAATACTCACCGTTTTGCCCTAAAACGGTGATATATTCATCGTTTCCTAATAAAACGGTGATATCTTCACCGTTTTCATTTAAGGCGGTGATTGGTTCACCGTTTTAGAGAAAAACGGTGAATACTTCACCGTTTTAGAGAAAAACGGTGAATACTTCACCGTTTTAGTTTAAAACGGTGAATTATTCACCGTGTTTGTCAAACGCGGTGATAGCCTTCACTGCGTTTGTCAAAAACGGTGAATACCAAACATGTGTAGTTTTGGAAAAAAAATTATAACTTTTGTATTTTGGGAATTTTTTTTAAGATTTTTTCCAAAATCATGGCCGATAACTTCTGATGTGACCTTATCACAATTTTGTGTATAAATAGGTTGTGTGCGATTTTTGAAAGTGAAGCTGTGTTTTAGGTATAAAAAAAAGCATAAGAGATGAATTCAAAAGAGAGTGCGATTTTGGAGAGTTTCTAGAGCAATTTTAGGTGATTTCTTTATTACAGCTATCAAAGGAATGCAAAGGTTTTTCGCAATCACCCATCTTTGAATCTCCAACGGCTCAAAACAGAGAAGAGGAATTTGCAGAGAAGAAGAAGGGGAGCCCGTGCGACATCGTACCATCACCTGCAGAGGAAAAGAGACATTCATGGAGTGATGTCATTTCTGGCAAATTGTCCAAGTAATCCTCGCAGTTTTAATTCTGCTCTTTTCCATTTTCGGTATGTACTTGCTTTTATCCCAAGCTTTGTCTTCTTCATTGAATTGTAAGACTCACCAGACACTTTGTATCCATCTATCCACTATATAAGTTGTGGTATGAAATGAGAACACCTTAGGTGATTAGCGTTTCTCAATCTAAAGGTGTTGTCATGGTATAAAAGTCTGGTTTCTAAACCCTACCTGCCACAAACATGGCTGCAAGTGAGAATGTTCGAGCAATTGCAGATCCCATGGCGGATCCTTACTACCTACATGGATTTGAGCAGCCAGGGTTGCCGTTGGTGGGAAAGAAGCTTACCACTGCCAACTATAACAACTGGAGCCAGACCATGTTAAATGCTTTGGGAGCCAAAAACAAGCTTGGATTTGTCAATGGCACAATCACACGTCCAGGAGAGAATCACCTTAATTATGGGCCCGAAACAAGAACAATGCCATGGTCCTTTCATGGATCCAGCAGGCAGTCTATCCCAGCATCCGGAAGACCATCATGTCCTGCAAAACTTCCCTTAAAGCCTGAAGAAGTCTCAGATCGAGGTATGGCCAAGGAGATGTGGTAAGGATAGCTGAACTTACTGAAGCTTTAAGCAGTCTAAAACAATGTAGTCAGTCTGTCAGAGTATTATGGTAACCTAATTGCCATCAAAGATGAATTGGATAATTATCAGCCTCTCCAACATTGTTCCTGAACACCAACCAGTCGTGAGTGAACCCAAACCACAAAGCCAGTTCTGATACTTGTGTATGGTTCTTGAGTAGTGCTACTAGGAAGACTAAAGAATGACTCCGGAGAGTTTAGCTCTCTGAGTTAACTTTGATTACATGTTTTTGCTATATCAGTCACCAGTCTGGTTTATCACTAGTGACTAAAGAGTTTTGATGCTATTCTACCTCTCGCGGTCTTCAAGTCAGGTTTCCGGCCACCACCAAATTTGTTAGTTGCTCGACCCTTCTTCCTAGCTTTCCTTGGCTTTCTCTTCGATGGTGATGATCTCTTCCTCGCCAAGCGCTGACGACGGATTTCTGGATCAGCCCAGCCTCTCCCCCATTCTGCAAAACTGGAGAAAGTTTTGGTGCTGTTCATTGACAGTTGCATGTCTGCTTCAGGGTAAACATGGAAAGGCTGATCTCGATCGAACTCCAGGAATTCAAGCCCCAGCCTCGTTGGTTCAGGAAAGTTTATCTGCACATGGACCTGGAAATAAAGTAGCAAGATTTAGTAGGGATAGGGAATCATTAGGTACTATTGGCTTGATTGAAACCAGATAATTATATGGACCAGATCAAAACCAGATAGTACAGAATCCAGTAAACAAGTAGTACACTTTAGTAGGATGAGCATACCACCACTAGAAATGCCCACCATTTGCCATGTACTAGGGAACCATGATTGAAGGATTCATACCTTGCCGTCGCTCTCTTTTATGAATCCTTTCTGTTCCAGGATTCGAGCCAGACCTCGCCACCACAGCTGATCAGTAGCACAGAACTTTGGTAACTGCATTTGGTTCATAGTAGACATTGTTAGAGACTCCAGGACATGGATAAATACAATACTACTGCTGCTGCTATGTTGTTGACTATGAACTTAGTGTACCTGCTCCCTTATCTTACTAACTAAAGTTCTGAGATCAGGTGTTCGCATTAGTCTTTGTGGTTTTGCATCACCAATCAAATCATCATAATAGCCATTACCGAAATCAGTCTGTGCCTGAAATTTAAACGGCAAGTTTCATGTGAGAACTTTATGACGAATACTTCATTTTATCGGACACCAACGAAAACATGTTTCCAACCACGAGTAAGAATGTTGAGCCTTTATTAGAGTTTCTTACGTGATACGCAGCAGCAATAATCTGCATCAGAACACCAGCTTCCTCTTTCACGTTCTGCATGTTGGGAGGCCCACCGACACATACATCACACCTGCATCATGCGAGGTTTCAGGTGGGAAGTTGCTTCAAAAGTCAGTAGGCAGTTTTAGCAAAGCAAAGGTTGCGTTTGTTTCAGCTAAAACAAAATTTTCCCACTCCAACCTATCTAAAATCTTAAAATGGTGAACCGCACGAAATATTAATGGTGAAATAAGAATCTATCTGAAAGTTATACTTACAATAATCGTTTCTCGAAAACCAAAACCCACTCTTCAGTATTTCAAACTATCTATCATCTCATAACTCAGCTTTATTACTAGAAATTTCTAAGTCCCACAGACACACTAATTCTTTATGTAAGAAACTCATAAAAGTTCACTTTTTTCCGAGCAAAAGCTAAAACAAGCACAGCGTTAATGTTATAGATGTAAAATTGGAAGAATAGATCACATACGATAGACACTTTTCGTGACGAAAATCTTCCCCAAAGTACTCCACGAGGATCTTGGAACGGCAACTCGAGGTATTCATTCCATACCTGCAAGCAAGTAAATGAAAAGGTAAGCCTCCCACAAAATCATCAGATGAAAGTGAAGTCAGCAGTACAGTGAAAAAAAGATGTCCACGCTTATAACCTGAAGCAGTCAGACAACATTTTATACGCTTGCTTTGTTTGATCTTCACTTCTTTTGTTTGGAAGCAGAGATGGTAGTCTTGACAGGTCGGCGTACAAGGCTGAAAGATATTACAAAGGTTGTCGGCCTTTCACTTGTGGAGATGAATGAAGTTTCTGAACAATTACAGCAATTATGAAAGTGATTCTTAACTTACTGCATTCTGCTAGCTTCCCGTCTCTCCCCGCACGGCCTGCTTCTTGATAGTAAGCCTCTATACTCTGGAAAAGAGTTGATATATAGAGAGATCAAGATTCATGAAGTCACAGAAGATGGCATTGTTTCAGATGAAGTTACAAAGAAGCTTGGATTTGTCCCAACTCTGTAATTTTGAAAATAATACAGCTATACATAATCTAAATACAGCACAGTCAAATCTCGAAAACAAACCTGTGGCCATCCATAGTGGATAATTCTTCGAACATTTAGCTTGTCGATCCCCATTCCGAATGCAATAGTTGCCACCACAACCTAGAAAGGAGGAAAGAGTATGTAAGCAAAATATTCAAGCTGCTGTCATTGACTTAATCAATCAACCATTATGTTAGAAACTAAAGAACATGTAAATAAGTTTTCAAATGGAAAGCAAGTTTAAGATAGTGCTTCATTATTACGGCAAGATCACTGTGGACTAACAGGGAAACAGATAAAAAGACCACTTGAAATGATAAACAAGTTAGATCTGAGACAAAAATTGTAACCAAAATTGCAGTTTCTATTATTTGTACCTGGAGCATATTATCATGAAATTCCTTGTGGACCCTACGTAGATGTGATTTTGGCAACTGCAATACAGAAAACACTCAAGTTTCAGTTTCGTTTCAGCAGCACAGGAATGAAAATGTGGCAAAAATGGCATTAACAAAACACATTAACATAATGCGAGGTACGCATCCACCTAGACTAAAGTGAGGCTCCTATAATTACCGATGCATTATAAGCAGCAGCCTTCACACCTAAACCACAGAGATACTTTGCGATGCCCACTGTCTCTTTCCTTGTAGGAACGTATATTATGCTGAGTCCTTCCTCCAATTGCTCTTCCTTTAGTTTTAGCCTCTTTTGTGGATTGTCAGGATGATTGATTGCCTCAGATGACTCATCCATATCCCATTCTGAGGAAGAAGGCTGCCCATGGAATTCCCCATGTGAAACTTCAAAATAAAATATATGGAATTAGAATAACTATAGTTCGATGAAAACACAGCACAGAGGTTGCATCATTAGCTCAGTCAAATTTCTAACTTGCACTTTTATTTCTAAGTTCTAAAAATTGAATGCCCAATGACAAAATAGCTCAATTTCAAAAGGAAGAGAAGAATGATTACCATCCCAATCATCTACATCTTGAAAGACATCAACTTCATTCTCCAGATACTCGATTGACATCTCTTTGATCTTTGAAGCAGGTGATCCACTTTGTTTAGTTGAATCTACTATAGCTTCATCTATATCACTGCTTTCTTCCTCAGATGAGCTATCATAGACAGAACTCTCAGACATATCATTGACTTTCTTTGATGCCATAATTTGTGTTTTATTGTTGCACTTCCTATTTCCGGTATACATTTCAATCAGCTGCTGAAAATCCTTCCTATAAGAAGCTGGAGAAGAGGTCCTGCTATGTCTTACCTGTTAAAAACAAATACAATTAGATTTTTCAGCCTGACAAAAAAAAACACAATGGTGGAAAGAAAACAGGTTAAATACTTAAAAGAAAAGAATAAAGAAAGAAGATAGCAGTTCAATGACGCATCATGTGTTCCGACTTTCTTTTATTTTTTAGGACAGGGAGAGGCAAAGCTCTGTTCCTTGAGAGACCTTATCTGGCTTACAAGTGAATTATAAATACCTTTTGCATTTATTCAATGATTAACCCCTTTTTCATTTGTCAGAATATTGTCCATCTATGTAACAAAAAACATCTAGGTTGTCTAAGAGCTGATGAAGGAGGACAGGGTGGTTACCGCGAATCGAAGGTTTGATCTGAAGAAAGAAGTAAGAACTATTTTTGTCTCCTTCGACATCCTCAATGATTTAAGGATGTCTTCTCGAACCTGAACCGTGGCTGTAGCGGTCAATGCCATCAGTGGAATATCAGAACTCAAACATTTTAAACTGCTACTACTGAAATTCTCCCTCAGAACGGACATTCGCCTGGAAAAAAAAAAGCAAATAAAGTGCCCACTTCCCAGAGTTGCTGGAGTTTCTAAACATTATATCTTGTTGCCACGTATAAACTAGAGGGAAGGCTAAGTGAGAAACATATACGAAAAGATACTACATAGGCCAAAGTGAAGGATACGAACCGATAATCAGGTCTGAAATCATGGCCCCACTTAGAAACACAATGAACTTCATCGATTGCGAACACAGCAATCCCTCGACTTTCTGCTAGACCTTGAAGTGGATTAATCAGTCTGCATAGGGGGGGGGGGGGGGGGGGGGGGGGGGGGGGTACAAAAGATGTCACAACCTCATTCCTTTCAAGTTTAAGTGAAAACTCATGTTTCACCTGAGAACTGTCTCTGGGCAGACATATACTATATCGTATGCTCCTCTCATTGCTTTCTTTTCCACGCTGCTATCTGGTTGTCCCGATCCAAGAAAGCATGCAGAGACTCCATGTTTTGACAGCTTCAAGCATTGATCATGCATCAAGCTAATCAATGGTGAAATAACAACAACCACTTTCCCTGTCAAGAGCGCTGGAAGCTGAAAACACAGAGATTTACCTACAAGTTGGTCGAACAATCATCCATTAAAACAGACTTAAGCAACTGCTACCAAAAAGGATCGTTCTTGAAAAGCAGAATTACCAGAGCCAGTGGCAGCAAGTATAAGACAATCCTGGTTAGCAACCCAAGCAGCCAAAGCTTCCTTTTGAAAACTCTTCAACGATGAATAACGAAAATGCTTTCGCAATAGACTAGTAGCTCTCTCCTCCCAATTCATCCCACCATCTACGACCTCTCTAGAGCAGCAAACTGATTCGGCCTCTTCCATTTTCTCTCTGTGGTGATTACTGTCAATACCCTTTGAACATTCCTCAACCCGGGGTGACACTACACAAGGTAAACCAGGACCTTTGCTCCGTTTGGATCCACTACCCGACCCGAAATATTCCAAAATGCTGGATTGCCGACTGGGCCCCAAGCTAGAGGAAGACACCATCGCTCTTTTACCAAGAACCTTCTTCCCATTACTAGCGGTAGAAGTAGGATACCTCGAACTGTTTAAACCACCGCCGGGTTTCCGAGAATTACCATTCAAGAGATAATCAAAGGCAACATCCAACGAAGGACCCATCTGGTTCACCGCCTCCACGACGGAAGGTTTCTCGAATCCCATTTGCACGAGCTTTTCAATAGCTTCATCGGGAGTCAAACCGCTCCCGGCCATGATTCTTTCCCACCAAAATTCGCAAAGAACAGCGCCCGATTAGGGTTTGGGGATCCCACGATCACACTTTAAATTGGGCGCGAGAAAATATTACTGTCATACAGCAATAATCGGAAGATTGAAAGAGAGTGAAAGAGAAAGAGGCTAAATCCGACACCCTAGATGAGCTGAGAGCAGAGCAGCCAGAGATGCAGCTCGCGGAGTAGAGACTACTTTCCTTCCCCGGAAATCATCAACCATCAACGTCCTTTGATCCCGCCAACTTGGTTTTTTTTTTTCGAATTGGAAAAGTTCCGAACTATTACCATGTAATTAATTTTGGTCCGTGTTTTTAGAAATGGGTTAATACTTTAGTTTCGTCTGAACTATACACATACTTTCTACTTTGGTCCGTTGTATTGAAAATTGCTATTGTAGCCTGCATTATGTAGCAAACTTCCTCATTTGGCCCGGAGGCGGGTTTGACCGTCAAATTAGACGGTCAAACCTGTTGACCGTTAGTCAATGTCCACCTCACCTACCACATCAGCTTTGAGGACATAATTTTTTTTTTATTTCTGAATTTTATTTTCTTTCGATTAATAAAAATAATAAATCAAAAAAATTAATTAAAAGAACGAAAAAGGGCCCATTTTTAGCAAATGACAAGAAAACAAAATTCAGAAATTAAAAAAAATATTTTATGTCCTCAAAGCTGACGTGGCAGGTGAAGTGGACATTGACTAACGATCAACAAGTTTGACTGTCTAATTTAACGGTCAAACCCGCCTCCAGGCCAAATGAGGAAGTTTGTTACATAGTTCAGGCTAGAATAGCAATTTCCAATACCACGGGTCAAAGTAGAAAGTATGTGTATAGTTCGGGTCAAACTAAGGTATTAACTCTTTAGAAATTAACATCCTAGCCTCAACTATGCAACATATAGATTCAATTGGCACGACATATGATTTGACCGTGAATTTGGTCGGTCAACACGCCATGTCATTGCCTCGTCAACCTAAAAATCATTAAAAAAATTCAAAGTCAAATTATTTTCTTAATTTCTATTATTTATCATTTTCTAATTAACCAAAAAATAAAATTTTAAAAATTTAAAATAATTTGATAAATTTTGGTTAATTTATAAAATTATCATTTTCAAATTACCCAAAAAAATAATAAATAAAATTTCTTTTATATTTTTTGGTTAATTTGATAATGATAAATAATAGAAATTAGGAAAATAATTTGAATTTGAATTTTTTTACTGATTTTTAAGCTGATGAGGCATTGACATGGCGTGTTGACCGTCCAAATTGACGGTCAAACCATGTGTCGGGCCAATTGAGTCTATATGTTGTATATTTGAGGTCAGGATGTTAATTTCTGAAACCACGGGCCAAAGTTGATTATATGGGCATAGTTTAGGCCAAAATAAGGTATTAATCCTTTTTTCCATATCATCGAGTTGGGGGACTTTGAAAGGCAGGATTGGGGTGAATTGCAAGTTGGTCACTCATTTATCTACTTGTAACACTTTAGTCACTCGAATCAATTTTCCTATAATTTAGCCACCTTTGTTACATGTTTATGTCATCTTTGATCACTCGCCGTCTGGGTCCGTTATGCTCCGTCAACGGCGTTACACTTTTGTTGGCGTGGTAAACGAGGGTGCCAAGCTAGCAAACTCAATGTCGAGTCACAGGTTTTTAATCCGAACCAATTCAAACCCGACCCATACAATGCGAAGAAAGAATCCGCCTATTAAGCTAACAACCCGCCCCGTTGACCCAAGTCGATTAAGTAGCAAAATTTAAAACAAAGGGATTTCAGGTAGAAGAAACGAAAGACAACTTCATCTCCCTTTCTTCTTTCTCTCATTCGAGTGTCCATAGCAGAAGAAGATTGCACGCATCTCATTCTTTGAATCTTTGTGTGTTAAAGATTTCTAACGCCAATCGTTTCTTCTTTTCTTCTCCTTCGTTTGGTTACCCATACATCACAAGCTGTTGCGATTGTTAGATAGATTACGAAAATCGAAACCCTAAATCCACCAATTGAAGTTTGCTACCAATTCTCTCGATTCAGTTGCTTTACTCTTCTTTTGGGGGGTTGGCATGCAACAAGGGAGCAGTTCTAAAGGTAAATATTTTGTTATTTGAGTTTTTTTGGGTTCAGTGTGGGTTTCTTATGAACAAACCGAAAGGGGATTTGACACATCGTCGGGGTTTTCCAGGTTGATATTCGATTCTTTATACTTAAATTGCAAGTTGGTGTTGTTTTTCTCATGTTGTCGGACTCTTCACCTAGAATGACAGTGGGTCATGTGCGGCCCCCAAATGGTTCACTACCAAACTATCGTAAGTTCTGTCATTTTTATGTTTTTTTATGGAAGAAAGCATTTGCAGAAGTGGCAATTTGTTCTTTTCAGAAGGCATTTTACTTTTAACCCACACCTGCCTTCCATTTACTTTCTCAATTGCATTCTCACCAATATTTTTTTTTGTAGCCAATAAGCGCATGCAGTGGTGAGTCACATTCGAAGTTCATGTAGACCACGAGTTGAAGAAGAAGAAGATGATGATGAAGAGTGGCAAACATTTCTTGAAGGAGAAGTCTAGTGTGTTCTATGACTATGTCGACTTCGATGAATTGTTGCTCCTCGACTTGCCTGACATCTATGAGAAGTGTGGTGGGGAGATTCAAAATCCAAGACTTTATTGGAAAGCTCCCTACATTGAGTCAATGTTGGAGATTTCTAACGATGGAGACTTGTTGAGCATGGCTACAGTAGCTAATGATCATCCTTGAATCATTAAGTTTTTTGCAATTGGAGAGAATGAAGTGAAGGATTTTATGAGTAGTGACTTGGATAAAGATGCAACCGAGTGTTCAACAATGGAAGCCTTATTTTGTGGTGATTCCGAGGAAGATGACAAGGACTACAAAAAAAGATGAAGATGACAGTGACTATAAGGGTGATTCTATAACGGTCAACAGTGATGGTGACAATGAAGAATTTGAGGATAATTGTATTGAGGATGTGGAAGATGACTTAGGCAGATGTAGTGGTGGAGACCCTGAAGATAGGGAGGTAGACAAAGGAGATGAGGAGTCTGATTTTGTCGACTCTGATGACCATAGAACTGTTCACAGTTTAGAGGATAACTTCGATGATGCACACGTGTCTGAGTTTCATGTCGATCGGGACATGGAGAAGCCAAAGTTCTCACTTTGATAAAAAAATTTAGCAGCAAGTATGTGTTGATTGAGGTGATAAAACACATTATTTCATTGAGAATTGACCAATCTCTTTCTAGAGAATGATCGAAAGAGGCTACAAGCAGTGTGTGAGGGACCTTGTGATTTGTACATTCTTTCATTGAGAATCAACCAATATCTTGCCAAGATTTATCGACTCTCTACTTTACCTTCTGCTGGCAAGAAACTTTGGAGTCTTTTTTAATTAGGTGAGGTTGGAGTCCCTGCTTCTAGTGATTCGACAAAGAGAGGAAGAAAGCGAGACGAAAGGAACCCTAGGAGGCTGACAAAGCTAAGAAACAAAAGAAGGATGGAAGGGAAGTGTCTAAACAACCTAGGAAATAATACATGTGTACTTTATGTGGTGTAGTTGGGCACAACAAGACTTTTCACGATAATCGAGCTGCAAAGGAACAAGCTCATGCTGAAAGGAAGACACAAGTTGTCATGGGAAAAGAAAGAAAAAGGAAGGAGAGGGAAAAAGAACAAAGGAGGAAGCAACAAGAAATGTCTAAACGTAATCAACTTTATGCCCAACAAAAGCTGGAGTAAAGGAGAAAGCAGCTGGAAATGAGACAAGCACCAAGTCAGCCTCATACTATCCAATTAATGCCAAATGTATGTCTTTAATTGATTGTTTTCATAGTTAATTAACATAGACAAAACTCCTAATCTCACTCATTTGGTTGGGAAGTACAAGGAGGCCATCAAGTGAGGTGTCCCAGCAAGGGAGTCAAGCCACTCAAGACTCGCAGGTAGCAACCCAATTGACCCGGCTGCAGAATCCATGAAGATTAGAAGTTGTTAATGTAAGAGTGGTTGTAGGTCATTGTGGTAGTTATAAGTAAATCGTATGACGATCTACTCTTTTCGTGAGCAAGTAGTTGTAGTTATATTAGCCTTATTTTGGTCATCAGGTGCCTCTTTGGTGAATTGATGAAACCTTTGATTGATCTTGTAATTAGATAATGATTTGCTCATTTTTGTGATCTTTCCAGATGGTTATCTAATGGCATGGCAGGCTTATTAAGAATGATAATGATCTTTTGTCCCATGACAGACATCTTTTCATTACACCTTGCATTTTCAGAGACCAAATTTGATTAAGGTTAAACACAAGCACAATCCATTTAAAATCCGATTACATCAACTCTGATTACACATTGCATTCCCCCATAAAACCCACCCATTCTTAATACACATTGCTTATTAAGAGCATAGTTGCATTCCCATCAAACTCATTCTTAATCCCCTTTCCAAATGAAAAAGAACAAAGATGCAGGAAAAAAATAAGAAGGAACACTTCTTTTCTACTAAAAATCTACACCCTCCCCTATTGTCTCTTTTTTAGCTTGCGAAGGCGACGATGGAGGTGGATCACCAAATATTTCACGTTGCCATCAAGAGCTAGGTCAAGCCATCTAAAGTATATGCAAGCTCCCGTTCTTTGTACATATGAAAACAAAACAAGGAAGAAGAAAGTTGAGAAGCTAGCGCTTTAACCTAGCAACGGAGGGAAGAAGAAGCAGGAGAAGAGTAGAGGAAGAAGGCGAGGAGAGAAGTTGGGTTTTACTCCAAACTTTGCCTCCTCCCTAGATTTGCATCTGTCCAGCTCGTCCTCAGATCTGCTGAATCTCCACAATGACAGCAGGGATCGGCCATTTTTAAGCTCGAAGAAGAAGGATCTGTGAACAAGAATTAACTAGGGGGAAAAGCCCTAATATAGATGGGAAGAAAGGGAGGGAAACCACTTTTTATTCTCGCCCAAGCCATGTCAGCAATTTGTCGGTGTCAAAAATAACATTCTTTCTCCCAGCTTGGCACCCCCGTTTGCCACATCAGCTGCAAAAGTGTAACGCCGTTGATGGAGTATAACGGATCTAGATGGCAAGTGACAAGGATAACATAAATTTGTAGTAGCGCTGACAAAGTGATTTGAGTGGCTAACGTGTTACAAATAGGTAATATGAGCGAGCAAACTTGCAATTCACCCGCCAGAATTGTATGCCTTCTCCTTTATGAAAAAGTATAGGGTAAATACTATTTTTTTAGCAAGCCCATAGTTGTAAGGATGGTAGAATGTCAGTTGGTTGAAACTAGTTCAATCGTTTTTGGTCATGAAATCGGAGGAACACCACTGGTAAGATTGGAATGATCAATTTATAACATCTAGGTAAAATAGTGAATTTTAGTAAATTTAATTAATAAAAATAATTTATTATTTATTTTATGAATTCAAAAGTTCAATATTAACGTTATTTGTTGGATTTAAGTATCAATGTTTAAATTATTGACATTTTTTTATATGAAAATTTGCTCGAGCTTTATTAATCAACGGACTCACTTACATTGTCAAGTAACAATTGATCAACCAAATAGATAGGGGTGCCTATCTACCCAAACAACACGCTCATTCCAGTTTGTCTCTGCATGCACCATAACATGCGCAACCTCATTTGCTTCCCTATATATGAATCTCCAACTACTCCCTTCCATCTAATCCAAAAGTCTTCGCACATTTCGACATACTATTCCAGTTTCCGTGTAGATGAAATCTGTCGCTTGGAGACTGTGCACTGCTGTCTGGCAGTGTGATTCAAGGATCGGCTTTGGGTAAAGCATTTGCCAGGCAAGTTGTGCCCCAAGTTCCGCAGCAAGAGCCTCCGCCATGTCCATGCTCAAGTTCCCTTGTACTCATTTCGCAGCCGCGAGTAGGAAGCACCCTTCGGCATCTCGAATAACAACTCCAAGGCCTGCCCCACCATTGGGCAGGATGCCAACATCCGTCGCCATAGAGGTACAGCCCATAGCAGGCAAACCCATCTCTTCTCGCGCAGAACATTCATGCCAGTGGCGGGCACATCGAACCTTGATTGGTGCTGCTTATATTCTTATAGTAAGAGGTGTGCTCGTAGCACTATTTCATTATCCGGGGACTTCTTTCCATTGAACAATTGGGCGTTACGTTCTTTCCATAGTGCCTACATTAAAGTGCATCATTCTTCCAATTCTTCATCCGTCACCAAAGACATTACTTCTTTAACCCAACCAAAGCAATCATTCATCCCTCGAACTGCAAAGCATCCCGCAAAGGGTGAAGCCCTCCAGAATCGAGCAGTCCATATGGCGAAGTCTTTCCCACATTATAAAATATTGAACTTTGCTACGGTGACTTGCAAGTCACCGTAACTTGCACTTTTAGGTCGACCTCAGATAGGATTAGGTCTACCTAATATGCTGTTTCAGTTTTGTGAGGCTCAATGACGCGGTTGACCTTTTACAGCAAATGGTCGACCTCTTTGGGAAACGACAATATAAAAGGTCGACCCAAATATCTCAAAGACCGACCATTTTGCTATTAAAAGGTCGCGCTCATAAGTAGGGCTGGAAGTTTGGTACTGGTATTTGGGATAATACCGAATACCGTACCGAATTTGTCTATATTTTGTATTTTCGAATACGCGTATTATTTCTTGGGATTGGGATTGAGATTCAATTTCAATTGTTATTCGGTATTAGAGATTACGGGAATGGGATCGGTATATACCGAAATACAGAATAATACTGAAATATAAGCTAGTGTGTATTTTAATCCTCTAAACTAGACTCTCACATTCACTACTACATGACCCTCAACCACCAATCTATTTTTAGTTTTATAACACCAAAAAGCTAACACTAGTATTAGTCTTCGATCAGCCCCCAATTCGTCAAATTAAATATTACCAATGACAAAAACTTGAGATGTCACCTCTCCTCTATTCTCCTTATCCATATCCTAGCTCTAGCCAAACTCAAGAGTCTTTGCTTAGTCTCTTGTCCTATATTAAACAATCAAATCTAATTTATATATTTAATTATTAATTGTAAAGATAATTAATTTCGTATTCGATTATACCGATTGGGATACCGAAGTACCGATTGTGATATCGAAATATTTAGGGATTGGGATACCGAAATTATCTAGGGATTGGGATTGAGATTGATTTTAGAGTGCAATTTGGTATTCAGGATTCATTATTTGGTATTGGGATACCGATGCCATACTGATTTCCACCCCTACTCATAAGTGAAAAGGTCGACCTTTGTTTCATTAACTGATCAACATCAAAGTCGGGATTATTTAGGAAAATAGTATAAACGGTCAACCTGACAAGTACGAAGTCGACCATGTGCACACCGTATCCATATTGGATAAGGATTCCAACACCATAAATATAACCCTAACTTGTCTACCACTTAATTCGACCCAATCTCGTCCTAAATATTTATAAATACGAATATATGTCACCTTCACCGCCACTGAAACTCTAAATTTGGTTTTTTGTATGGTTAGAGCTTTTGCGAAGAAGAAGATCCTTTCCGGTTGCTGTTGTACGTGTTTCAGGAGGTCGACCACGTGAAAGGTGAGGTCGACCTATTTTAGCTATCGTCGTCATCTTGTCTAATTCGTAATTTGCACCGTTTAATTTGATGTTTTGTTGCGTGCAGAAGACCATTCGAGAAATTGAATTTAGGGCACAATACTCGAACTTCTGTACTTGCGAAGTAAGGAAGATCAAACCCAATAGGTCGACCTAATTCTTATCATGGTCGACCATTTCTGTTTGTTTTGCTTGTTTATCCAGAATGTCGACTTTGGCTTTGTTTGTAAAACTATGTTGTGCTTAAAAGGTCGGCCGGTCAATGTGTCTGGTCGACCTATCAATTGTTCGTGGTAGTATTACACATGTTTTTGTTGGCAAATTGGTTGGATAGGTCGACCTAGGAAGAGCAAAGGTCGACCTAATTGGTTATGGTAGTGACAACTTACTTCTTTAAGATCGACCTAATAATATTTCAGGTCGACCACTTCTCTGTTGTTGGTCATTTATACAAAATTAGAGTGACCACCTTAGGGGATTCGGTCGACCGCAATTAAGAATAGGTCCACCAAATTGTGCAAGTTACGGTGACTTACAAGGCGCCATAAACGCACCTTAAAATATTAGCCAAACCTTCTAGATTAAAAAAAAGAACTAACCAAACATTAATGACATTACACAATAACAACAGTTCCGTTAGAGTTAACGGTAGAGTTAGCATAACTACCTAAATAGCATTTTTAAGTCCACGTGTATTGACATGTCATTTGGAATAAAAAACTATCATTTTAAGTTATTTTTCTAGTAAATTTTTGATTTTGTATAATAATATCTAGCCTCCAACGTTCCAATATACTAATTTTGTGATCTGTCCACTTTGTTTACATAGGAATAAAATTCCTATTTAAAGAACCACATCATGAGATTGCAACCTATGGAGTTCGGACACATCACTGCTTTCAAGCTGCTGCTTCCCTTGAAAACACGTTAGTGTTGAATAAGACAAAGAAGACATACCTCAAGCACTTTGTCATATCATCCTGTGATTGTTCATTGCTACTACTGATATGCTCGTGAAGCAAGCATGTCCTAGATAAAAGGGTAGAGTCTATGGATCATTATAGTTGGGTGGGTAATACGGGTAACCCATTCACATTGTATAACACTTTTATTTCAAATCCCATCCTATAAAAAATTACGGGTATTTGGGTACCCGTAGTCCTAAAAAAGGAACGAGTATGTGTATACCTAAATATCCATTTTCCGTTACCCACTCCTAAGATCAATGCGATAGAATGCTTCCTCTTATGGAGTTTTTATTTCAAATTCTAGTGGTTTCACTCTTTTTGTATCTGGTTTCCTTCACTTTGGTATCTCAAACCCTTATCTTGCATAGCTTATTGAAGCTCGTGACGCCATTTTCTTGGCGGTTTGTCGCCATATTGCTAGAGTGGTAGTTGAAGCCTGAAGGTGACTCGGAGGTTGTTATTCATCAACTCCATAAAGGTTACATTTCTCCTCAGATTCCTTATGTGAACTGTGCTGCGTGATTGTCTCAACCTGATCTCGGCCATATCCCACGGTGTAGAGTTAGAGCGGTTCCTAGAGTAGATAATTGGGCTGCCAATAGAGTGACACACAAAACTCTTTCCTTGTCTTTGGTAGAGTTGGTGTCTTTTTGATTTTTGGCGCTTGATTAATGTTTTAGGGGTGGGGTATCTCTTCTAATACTTGTTTCTTTCTTGACATTTATCTGGAAAAATGCAAATTTTATTATACAATAATATTAAGTATCATCAACGCGACTAATTAGAACTGATTGATATCGATGAATTCATTATAATCATTCTCTATAGCAACTATGCATATTCCAACTTGATTGTTCTACTGTTAGAGTTAGTCAATAGAGTTGTAATACCACATTGATTGGAGAAGGAAAGTATAAGAATTGAGTTTTGGCAGTTTAATTAATTAATTATTTTTATATTAATTAATTACCGTTTGTATATTGTGAAAAGAAGTGTCCTTTCATAAAGATAACTTCCCTTTTTCTATGAATAGATGTGTCCATTCGGGAAAGGTATCTATCTTTTTTTTGTGAAAGGATGTGTTCTTTCGGGAAATGTAAGACCAACTTCAATGCAAGACCCCAAATTTGGGGACCTTCATCCCCAAATTTGGGGATTGTCCCCATTTTTTACAATTTGGCTTCAATGCTACCAACCTCAAATTTGGGGATCTCCATTTTATCCATTTTTACATTTACTTAAAAATGTACTTATCGAAACCTTAATATAATTTGTTAATGTTAATTTTTGTATAGTTCGTCATCATTTTAAGATACAAATTTTCCGATAGAATTTTTTTTAAATTCCGAGACCGAATTTGTTTTGGCGAAAAAATTATGGACCTAATTTTGGTTTACACACAACACTTGAAAATGATAAAGCTAAAGGAGTTCACATAATAATTTAAATGATACAACTTAGAGGTTACACACAACACTTGCTAATGATAAAGCTTAAAAATAACACACAACACTTGAAATGATAAAGATGAAACACATAACATGTCAATAATCCCCTAGAATGGAACAATAATTCCTGTAATCTCCTCCTCCACTCTCATCTCCTCCTCCGGTATGACTTGCATTGGATGAATAGTTGGGAAGAGAGTTGGGATCATATTGATCATATCCTAGAATCCGGTTTTGTTGAATTTTGTAATACCTCCTTTTTCTTGGTGTCAACTTCGACAAGTCCTTTTCAAGAAGATCAAGGTTGTCCAGAAATAGTGTTGTTTCCCTCTCTTTTTCTCAACTTTCCAATTTTCTTGGTCACGCTTTGATTTTTTATTCTTAGAATTCCATCCTTTTTCACTCATACTCAATCCTCGAAGCATGCCTCTCTTTCATCTCACTTCCATACTCCAACAATTGAGCAGTGTAGCTCTCTGATGACTCAACAACCCCCTTTCCTTTCTTCTTAGCCGCCTTCTGTTTGTCGCGTCCAGCAGGGCGAGATATGACGAAGGGTGGAGTCTCTTCGACGAAGGGTGGAGTTTCCCCGACGAAGGGTGGAGTTTCTTCGTCTCCTTCTGTGTCATTGAGGTCTGTCTGTGGTGTTGATTGATAACCTTGACCCATGGGAGAACCATTAGTACCTTGACTCATGAGTTTTGATGTGAAGACGACAATGATATAATAGTATGGAATTTTTGGCATTTCTTCAAGATCCATTAGCAATGACCAAAATTCCAACCCTTCTCTCCGGTTTCACTTAAATATAGTTGGTCTGCCATATACTCCTATATGTATGAATGAATGAGATAGAAAAGGAGTTAGAAAATAGAACACACGTACTAATGAGCGAGTTAGAAAATAACAGCAATAGTGACAGATAATTCATACCACATCTTGTTGATTCGTGCTACTTGGTTGATTCCTCTCTGCCCTTTGGATAACTGAATTCCAACACTTACAGAATTTGGTGATTGTGCCCATTCGACCAGACATGCTTTTGATGGTACAAGATGAGTTTCGAGCGTTGACTCGATATTGCGCCGCCACTCTATCCCAAAACTTTCTAGTTCGTTGATTGATGCCCACGGCTCCATCTTATGATATCATGACCCAAGAATTGCACAAGTTCTTATCTTCCTCCACTTTCCAATTCTCTCCTCTCTTGCTTGTCATTGTTTGGTTTTTAGAGAGATAAATATGATAGAAAGGGTGATGAAGTTGACCGAAAATTTCAATTCAGTAAGAATGAGATGTAGAGAGTGGAGAGGATGTCTGAATATATAAAGAATTTATGATTGTAAGATGTTACCGTTGGTAGGTAAGACTGTTAGGTAGCACATGTTTGAATATGACCGTTATGTTTGACCGTTAGATGTTACCGTTTGAATCGGACCGTTAGATGTTACCGTTGGAAGGTAAGGCTGTTAGGTAGCACGTGTTAGGTATGTCATTGGTAGGTAAGACAAGTTTGGATGCCTGTTCGGATATAAATACATATCCCTCATTTGCCATCAATCAATACTTGTCTGAAACTTACTCCAATTTTTAAATCAAACACATCTATAAACTTCTGCCCATTTCTAAAACAAACATATCCATCATGAGTTCCTCAGATTACCCATCGTCTGGAGGAGAAGAAGAGATGGAAGATTTGAATCTGTTTCACTATCGTCGTTTGGCTTTAATCGGACGGAGGATTAAGGAAGCTTCCTCATCACGTCGTCATTCAACAAGTCGCACCTACATTGATCGTGAAAGGGTCTCAGGTCACATAATGGGTGATCGTTTTATGCAGGATTACTTCAATCCAAATCCAACATACGATGCCCGCATATTCAGAAGGTGTTTTCGTATGCAGCCACGACTATTCAATCACATAATGGGTGACGTTGTGAGGTATGATCCCTCTTTTGCTCGAAGGAGTGATGTCGTTGGTCACCTAGGCCTATCGTTGGAGCAAAAGCTTACTAGTGCACTGCGCATGCTAGCTTATGGATCTCTAGCTGATCAACTTGATGACTATGTGCGAATGGGTCAGAGCACAAGCTTACTAGTGCACTGCGCATGCTAGCTTATGGCTATCCAGCTGATCAACTTGATGCCTATGTGAGAATGGGTCAGAGCACTGTACTGGAAGTTTTCAGGAAGTTTTGCAGAGCCATTATCGGGATGTACTCATCGACATACCTTCGTGCACCAACTCCTGCTGATCTAAGGATTCTGCTTCACAAAGCCTCACAACGCGGATTCCTGGTATGATTGGGTCAATTGATTGCATGTACTGGGAGTGGAGGAACTGTCCTACTTCTTGGACTGGGCAGTACTTGGGGCACAACCGTAAACCAACAATCATTCTCGAGGCAGTGGCTTCGTACAACCCCTGAATATGACATGCTTTCTTCGGCCCGCTTGGGTCAAATAACGAAATCAATGTTCTGGGGATGTCTCCAGTGTTTGACTGTATCCTCAACGGATCCGCTCCACGAGTACGATTTGAGGTAAACGGCCATACCTATGATCAATGTTATTATTTGGCTTATGGTATTTATCCTTCATGGTCAACTTTAGTGAAAACATTCAGCAATCCAAGCTCAAACAAAGAAGCCTTGTTTGCTCGATGTCAAGAAGCACATCGAAAAGACGTAGAGCGGGCCTTTGGAATTCTTCAAGCTAGATGGGCAATCGTTCATGGCCCTGCGAGATCTTGGGATGTTGCCACAATTAATGATATAATGTTGACATGCATTATATTGCACAACATGATAATCGAGGATGGGCAGGTTGATTCTGACGATGAGATGGAAGATAGTCTTGATTATGAGGTCCACGATCAACAACCAACTAATGTCAACAGAGATATTCCAACTCTAACTGAGTACTTGGCTAGGAATAATAGGCTTCGTGCTGCACTAACACATCATGGGCTTCGTCAGGACTTGGTCGAGCATATTTGGAACTTGCATTGAAATAATTAGTTATTGTTGTTGCTTGGTATCGATGCTGGGATGCTTTGTAATTCAATTTAAAGTTGTAGTTGGTGACAATTTGTTTTGTAATTCAAGAACGTATTTTCAATTCAATAATATATTTTCCATTCTTAGTTCTAATTATTTTTTGTTTACACACAACTTCTAGATAATAAGCATAATTTTAAATAAAATGAATTCAATTTAAGTCATCTTAGAAAATAAAATAAATTAACCAAACTATTAAACCCAAAATAAATAGATAACCTTCACTTAATTAATACAAACATTAATTTACTTGAATTAATTAGATAACATTCACTTATTAATTAAACAATCATCACTTAATTAAACACTTAATGACAAATTAAAAAAGGGAAGGGGCGGAACAACCGCCAGGACTGGGCGCGTGTGGCGCACCGCCCAACCCTGGCAGTTGTCCCGCCCCGCCCCCAATCCGCTACCCATAATTGCCGACTCCGGCATTCCCCCCTCCATATTTGGAGACCCAAATGCAGGTCACCCCCATTAATGTCGTTTTTGCCTTTTTTTTAGGCTGCATTGGAGAGCTCAACCCCTTATTTTTGAAGGCTCCCCCATTTATGGGGTTGCATTGCAGTCAGCCTAACTACCTTTTTCTATGAAAGGATGTGTATCTTCAGAAGGTAACTTCCAGTTTTCACAAGTTAAATAAAAAACTGTCATAACTCATTTTAACATGAACGAGAGATTAATTCTTCTTCCCTTTTTTTCTCTATTTCATAAACACATAAGTCTGCAAGATTGCTGCTTCCAGACTTAGAATTGAAGGGAAACTTGGGGGTGGTTTGCTCGAACCTACAAACAATTAGTAGTGGGGGGAAGTAATCGAAAAGAAAGGAAGTATGACAATTTATGGCATCTAATGTCATGCGAATGGTGGTGGCAAAGCACTGGCAATAGCCATCCCAATTCATATTGTCACAGGTCAGTTGAACCAATTATTCATGATGCAAATTGAAACGAGAATTTTAATTAATTCCTTGTTTGTTGTCGAAGATGAAAGTGGGAAGTGCAATGCATTGACCACTATTAATTTTCATGAAGCTTCAGAAAGATTGTCATTTCTGTTATGCATTGTAATTGCCATGAATGTGATTTTGTATTCGTGCATAATGATGGTGAGTAATTCCAACTAATCATCATGCAAGTTGTTGAGTCATGCATGGTTTGGATCCACATACAAGATGCAACATGTGTGTGAAAGGAAAAAATAGTAAACCAATTCGATTTGGTTAATGATACTGAATACTTTTTGTAGTATTTGAAATGTGAACGAACTCATAATTCGTATTATGAGAAGAGTTCAAGAAAATTCAATTGCGTTTGAATTTGAAAGAATTCATGTTGAATTCTTGAAATAAATTTTGTCACCAATTCCCCCGACATGATAATTTGTTTATCATGTATTGGATTATGAATTCATGTTTCATATGCCATGAGGGCAAGAAAAATGAAACTAAGATGAATCCTTATTGGGATTGAATAAGCTCGCTAAAGAATGGTGATCATCAAAATAATCATCGTCAGAATTGTTTATGGTATATGTACACTATACCATTGGAAAACAATCTGACGTATGACTATTGTGTGAAGCTATTGGTCAGAATTGTTTATGGTATATGTAGACATATACCATTGGCAAACAATTTGACATGAGAGCTTAATTAAGATGAGCTTATTGAAATGAATTACATACGATATACTATGCAAATTTATACTAATGGAAAGTAATAAGTACACTATCGACTTAGAAAATTTCATCTGAATTACTTGTGGTATGTCGAAGTTACCTTGAAGAATGTCATTGATAAGTAATTAGATGGTATTTCCAATACAATCTGGAAATGCAACTGAATTTCTTGTGGCATCTCAAGTCACCTTGTCCAATTCCATTGGTAAGTAATTAGATGATCTTTCTAAAAATATCTTAATTGTTTGTGGTATGCTAATTCAATTAGTCCATACCATTGGTAAACAATTAGATCAATGTATTGGTAGTGAAAGTTCAATAAGTAAAACCATGGAAAATTAAATGAAATTATTCCATTATAGTTGGACAAGTGGTAGAATTGTGGGGGAGATGTTTTTGATGCTAGTTGGATAACAAGTACCAGTGATAATAAATCTACAATGGGTAAATTTTTACACTAGGTGGTGGAGTTGTTTTTTGGCTTCAAAGAAACAAACATGTATTACAAACTCCACTATGGGAGTTGAATTCCTAGCCCTTGCGGCGGCTGGAAAAGAAGTAGAATGGCTAAGAAACATGTTGTTAGATATAAATTTGTGGCCACAACTGATGTCCGCCATTTCTGACTTTTGTGATAGTGAGGCTACTTTGTCGAGAGCTTATAACAAGATTTACAATGGTAAGTCTAGAGCTACTAGCCTAAGACATGATTAGGTTAGATAATTGATTTCTAATGGAATAATTTCTATCGTGTATGTTAGAGCAAGCAATAATTTGGCAGATCTTCTTACCAAGAGATTGTCAAGTGCTAAGATCTATGAGACATCCCAAGGGAAGGGATTGAGACCTCTTGTGACGTTAGAAGTAATGGGAACCCAACATTTCTTTAGGTATTCACTAATTAAAAGGTTCAATGTGGTAATAACAAGTTACTCTAACTGAGGTATTAATTTATTGTACAACTAGTCCAAAGAAGGGTGAGTTATAGAACTATTGAGATGAGTTATAGAACTCTTAATGAGTTCATTTGGAATGTCACCTATGCGAGCATTAAGAGTGGTGTCGCTCTAACAAAAGTAGAGGTCAACTTTTGTATATTGATGACTCGATATTTGCACATGTTTTCCCCTTTGTTTCTTGACTGTTTGAGCTTTAATTATCGCGTCTTTGGCCTATTTTATGCTAGGTTGTGTTCCTTTGTCACATTTCAGGTCCTAGCACATAAAGTGAAGCATAGGCGCAAGTTTCAAGTCAATCAGAGATCAATTGGCGATTAGGGAGAAGCAACTCGGGCATGACCCGAAGAAGAATGGATTTCTACCTCACTTTATGGACAAAGAATCATGCAAGCTTTTCATGAAAAGAAAGAGGACGAGACTACGAGCGTCTGGGATCAAACGACGACTGATTCGGAGTCTGGACGAGGGAGAAACGAAGCATTGAATATAGGGGAACAAGTTCGGCAGTAAAAACACGGGCTGGCCTAAAGAAAAACACGGCCGTGTCCATATTTAGGCACGACCGTGTTTTGGCCGATGAGGGCTGCTAGGGGCAAAACACGGGCGGGCAAAAGTAAAACACGGTCGTGTCCTCGACCGTGTTTTGCCCAGAATCGGGGTTTTTAGGCAGATTGAGGCCAAAGGAAAGGGACAGCTGGGTTTTGGATCCAAAACACCCAAGGGACAAAGCCTAGAGAGAGAGAGAGAGCGATTTGGGAACATTCTTGGAGCTATTTTGGAGGATTTCTTCGCCATTGGAGCTCGAGAATCAAGCTTGGAGATGGAGATTGAAGATCTAGATCAGATTTCTGCAGTCTCTCTCTTCTCTATGGAGTAACTTCCCTTCACTTAGGTTTTGAGGAACCCTAGCTATGTTTGTTTGATTGGATGATTGTGTGAGTACTCTTACTTGATAATCTTGAGTTCATATTCAATCTATGCATGTTTTCATGATTCAATTCTGATTTAGTCGAGATTATTGATTCTGCTTTGATCCTATGAGAGCGAATACCTGATTAGGTTAATAGAGCACCATAGATTGATAGTAGTGGATCGATTGCTTTAGTCGAGGGTTGATTCACTGCTTTGTATCGATTGAGAACCTCATTCGATAGAGAGAATCTAGTTCAGAACGCCTTGATCGGTTGTTCTAGAAAAGGATACGTCCCTCTAGGCAATTGACTCAAGAGGGTCTTGTTCCTTTAGTCGAGACTCAGGGTCTAGTCAAGGATTCTCCGCATTGTGAATGAAAGTGAAACAAGTTAGACATCATCAATCATTAATCTGGCTAGTGGCTAGGGGGAATCATACCTAAGTGAGTTCCCAACATGTAATTAGATTAACTTTAACTGTAGTTTGCTAGAGTAGTTTTAGTTCTTTCATCTTAATCTGGTTTGCTAAATAATAAACTGAAGCTGAGTAATAGTAACTCTAGAGACCCGTGGATTTGATATTTATTACTTGAGCCACTATATTGCAGTCCCTTTCATTGGTTACACTTGGCCATTGTTAGGAGTTGTGTCATAGCGAGTCATATATGCTCATGAAGTAGGATCAGCACATGGCCATAATAGTGCTACCTTGTTGGTGGTTGTGGTATAGAGAAGAGACAAGTACGTGTGTGGCATCTCCAGTTATAGCTTTGGATCGTGACTCCTAGGCTTAAGCCCATCACTGATTCGTTATCAACTTCGGCTTGCTTACACTAGGTAAATGTTCAAATCGAGAAGATACCTTTTTGTATGCGTTACTTGTTCAAGGCAGGTATTATCAACTCTTGTTGACTAAGTGGGGGATTGTTATAGTTAGTCAATAGAGTTGTAATACCACATTGATGAGAGAAGGAAAGTATAAGAATTGAGTCTTTGGCAGTTTAATTAATTAATTAATTTTTATATTAATTAATTAACGTTTGAATATTGTGAAGAGAAGTGTCCTTCCAGAAAGGTAACTTCCCTTTTTTTGTGAAAGGATGTGTCCTTTCGGTAAAAGGTAACTACCTTTTCCTATGAAAAGGATGTGTCTTTTCGGAAGGTAACTTTCAGTTTTCACAAGTATAAATAGAGAATTGTCATAACTCATTTTAACATGAACGAGAGATTACTTCTTCTTCCCGTTTTCATTCTCTATTTCACAAATACAAAAGTCTCCAAGATTGCTACTTCCAGACTTCGAATTGAAGGGACTCGTGGGGGTGGTTTGCTCGAACCTACCAACAATTTGTAGTGAGGGAAAATAACACTCTAATGAGAGTGATCTAATCACGCTTTCAATCGATTATTTTCTACCAACGTCAACTTATTTTTTTGTTCAACTTGATTGTTCTACTTCTATGAGCTCAACTAGGAATTTAACATCATCCAAGTGGGGTGTGAAAGGTTACAATTTGAAAATAGTTTTCTTCACAAAAGGATTAAAATTAAAATGTGAACGGAATGATAATTGGGATACATGGACCCAATTGTTACGTAGAAAAGTTTCTGGACGTACTTCTTATATGTTCATCTAAAAAAGCTCCAATTGACCGTTTGATCACAAGCGGGCGCCGCAGAAGGCCAGTTCCCAACTGCGGCACATCCCACAAACACAGACTACCGTTCTCTGAACCTTTTTAAGGTAAAATAGAAAAGAGAAAAACTCAGCAAGGGAAAGGAAGAGAGGAACCAACCAAAACCCAGCGAAGCAACGACCTCAACAGAAGACCGGTTGCAACCCTGTCTTCTTCTTCTTTTGTGTCGGAGTGGGGAAAGAGAAAGAGGAATTGGCCGAAACTAATGAGTTATAGGTTTCTTCGCCATTTATATACTTCCCCGGACTTCTGCAATTTTGTAGCTGTTTCAGTTCACGCTTCTGCCCAATTCTAGCAAACCCTAGTCTCGCCAGGTAAAATTTGGTCTTAATTGCTGGGTTCTTTTCCTGTTCCCCTCTAGCTGCTTCTGGGTTTGTTTCCATTCTGCTAAATTCGTGATCTTTACTAGTTTTCCTCTCGTGGGTCATTACTTACTACGGCGAATTGGGTTCTCTCTTCCTTTGGGGCTTTACAGGAGTGTTGAACTCAATTACGGCCAGTGTTAGTGAATCACAGTTGACTTCGTGAGGGGTAAAGGGACTATGGATAATAACCCACAAGGTGATGACAATGTGGGGATCCCAGATGATTTGCGGTGCAAGAGATCCGATGGGAAACAGTGGAGATGCACTGCATTGTCTATGCCCGATAAAACGGTGTGTGAGAAGCACTACATCCAGGCTAAAAGGAGGGCGGCTAATTCAGCTCTAAGGGCTAGTCTAAAGAAGGCCAAGAGGAAATCAGCGGGTGAAAGTGATCATGATGTCTACTTGGAGAGTAAGAGTGATGATTTCGATATGCCTCTTGCTAGCATAAAATCCGAGGACCATAACGTTTCAGTCTCGTCCAAGAAGAAGCTGTCCAAGAATCACGGGCGGTACTCTCCTGAAGGGCCGATGAGGAGTTTGTCTGCTAGAAACGCTCAGAAGGACGACGACGAAATGGAGAGAGATGTGGAGTACGAAGACAATTGGAGATCGTATGATACGCCGCCACCTTCGACAATGGATTCTTCCAGAAGTAGGTCACAGAGGAGTTTTGATGCCACACCCGTGATGGTAATACCTCTGGGTTTGCTGTTTGGCAGCTTTTCTTTTGGTAATGGAAACTGAAATGGGATAAGTTTTTCAGGATTACTCTGGTGGAACCACAGATTCCTCTGAAGACATGGGAGGACAGGCTTGTCATCAATGCCTGAGAAAAGATGGAGGCAGAGTTGTTTGGTGTCTCAAATGTGACAAGAGAGGCTTTTGTGATAGTTGCATCTCTGCATGGTGAGGGATTAAGTTCCTTGGCAGGTGTCTTTTTTCTTTTCGTTGACAATCGTAACGAGCATTTCTAAACAAAACCCTAGGTACCCAGATATTTCAATAGAAGAAATTGAGAAAGTTTGTCCTGCTTGTCGAGGTATCTGTAATTGCAAGGTGTGTTTGCGAGGGGATAATATGGTGAAGGTAAGAGAATTTCACTCTTAAAAATTATTAGCTGGATCATCTGATTTACTGGTTCATTCATGTTTTTTTTAATTTTTTTTTTATATGTCAATTTGAAATGCAGGTTAGAATACGGGAGATACCGGTCTTAGATAAATTGCAATACCTCTACTGCCTATTATCTTCAGTACTTCCAGTAGTTAAACAGATCCATGATGAGCAGTGCTCTGAAGTAGAGCTGGAGAAAAGGCTTCGTGGTATGTCCCTTTAAGTTTAACTTTGAAGTTTAAGATGTAATAAAACATTCAAGAATCGTCTCCTACATTTTTCAGGAACTGATAATATAGATCTTGCTCGAGTCAAATTGAACGCAGATGAACAGATGTGCTGGTAATTGGCCTGCCTTATCCAGTCTTTCTTTCATTTAAAGTCATTATGGATATTGTTACTCAACTTTTTGTTATTCAGCAACATATGCAGGATACCGATTATTGACTACCATCGACATTGTCCTAATTGCTCGTACGATCTTTGCCTTCATTGTTGTCAAGATCTCCGAAAAGCATCTGGTATTAGTGGTGAAGTGGTAGATATAAGTCGAGACATAGGAAGTGCAGTTTACCAAGTCAAAGAATCGAAACTAAGACTGGACTTATCAGAGGAGTATCCTCTCTGGAAGGCCAACAGGGATGGCAGCATTCCTTGCCCTCCAAGGGAGTACGGCGGCTGCGATTATTCATCAATGAGTCTAAGCCGCATATTCAAGATGAATTGGGTTGCAAAGCTGGTCAAGAATGTGGAAGAGATGGTCAACGGGTGTAAAGTCAATGATCCGCAAACACTTTGGTCAGATGATTCCACAATGTTCAAGTGTTCTTCTGATGATATTAAAGTGCAAGGGGTCAATATTTTCAGAAAGCATTGGGGTAGGGGTAAACCAGTAATTCTCAAGCGAGTATTTGACTCGCTGTCGGCGCCAAGCTGGGATCCAATGGTTATATGGCAAGGCATCTGTGAAACATCTGACGGAAGAACGAAAGACGAGAATAGAATGGTCAAGGCCATTGACTGCTTAACCCGGTCCGAGGTTGGTTCCAAGTTTACTTCCCTTGGCTTAAATGAATAAATAGTGTCTTGGTTAATCTGATTGCCCTTTACCTTGATTTACTCACAGGTTGATCTCGAACTAAGCCAATTCATTAAAGGTTACAAAGAAGGAAGAATGCGGGAAGATGGTTCACTTGAGATGTTGAAGCTGAAGGACTGGCCTTCCCCAACTGCTTCTGAAGAGTTCTTATTGTACCAGCGGCCTGAGTTTGTCAGTAAACTGCCACTACTCGAGTTCATTCATTCGAGATTGGGCGTCTTGAATGTGGCTGCCAAGTTGCCACATTATTCTTTGCAGAATGACGTGGGGCCTAAAATTTATCTGTCCTATGGGAGGATGGAAGAACTCGGTAGAGGCGATTCAGTAACCAATATTCACTTGAAAATGCGTGATATGGTAAGCCTTTTTAATAGCTTCTTAAAGGCAGGCAGAGTAAGACTTTGATTGATGCTAAACATTTTGAGGTTGCTATCCACATAGGGGCACTTTAATCTGAACTTAATCTTCAGCTTAAACAGATGTTAGTTGCTAATGGTGAACATGGGTTGGTTTGGTCGGATTTGACGATTTTCAATCAACTGACCCATGAGCAACAGGTAGGTAACAAACTACCTGAACCCAGCAGTAAAAGGAATGAATTCTGTTGGTTTTATTGATGCTTGGTCTATTTGATTTTGGGTAAGTGTAGATCATGTAGAAAATGAATGATAAAAATGTAGCTAAGTAATAGCAGATAACAAATGAAGAGAAACACACAAGAATTTTAAATCATCTTTATCTTGGTTTGATTCATGATTTTACTAACTCAAGAAATATCGTTAAGAGTTAAACACTAATTACACAGAAAGAAATCGCAACTGATCTATAGATAGACTCTCAGAACCATTCTACCAGTTTACTGTTTTGCTTTTTAACTAGCCATCTCCTTGTTATCTGAATGTGTTGAAAGAAGAACTTGGGTTGAGATTTTCCCCACTTGTTGCCAGATGTATCTTCTGGTGCACACGCACGAGGTGAAGCTACAGGGTTCTGCCCCTGAGAGCGAGCCATCTGATTCTGAAACAAGCACGGACGGGGGAGTAGTACTACCAGATTTATCTCTTGGCCAACTGGAGATGCAAAATTTGGGGATGGCAACTTCTGATGACAACAAGATCACTGGAGACCAAGAGGTTGCTGGGATTTCCACAAACATCGATGATGATGTTGACGAGAGAATGGAAGACGTTGAGTTGGAGCATACTGACGATGCCAAGAGTGTGAAGCATCAGCACTCAAAGAAAGAGATTGAAGGAGGTATATCAAACGAGGCTCTCCCAGGAGCTCATTGGGATGTCTTTCGTAGGCAAGATATCCCGAAGCTGGTTGAGTATGTGAGGAACCATGCCGAGGAGTTTGGGTACATAGTTGATGCTGATTCAGTAAGTTTTATCCAACTGTAGATTGTCTTTTGCATCTAACTGCTCTTTTCACTTAAACTAAACTTCAAATCCACTGCTTCTGGTTAACACACAACTGAATTATTTGGTTTTGGTGGTTGATTAATGATCGACCAAAACCAAGCCAAGTTTTGTTGCATGTTATGTTTAGGGTTTACATTTCCTGCAAATGATTACAATTTAAGGATGTTGAATTATATGTTTACACTTTTGCAATTGATTCTTTGAATTTTGCTGGGTTTGTTTTCTCGGGGTTTGATACTAAAGCACTATTTTATTTTGGTGCGTCTTTTGTATAGTTTTGGTTCATTTTTCACGTTCATGAGTATTAAATTTGTTCAGCTAAAGAAATCGAAACTGAACCAATCCTCACTTTGCATGCTTGACTATCCTACTCTTCTCTACAATTTAGGCTGCCCACTTGCTTTACAGCGGCACAGTATTCCTCGACAGACATCACAAGCAAAAATTGAAGGAAGAACTAGGTGAGAATAATTATAAGTTTATCTTTTCTTTCTCAAAATAGGTCTTTTTGACTGTTTATGGGTTGACAGTAACTTCTTTCCAAATCCTTCAGGAGTCGAGCCATGGTCATTTGAACAGCATTTGGGAGAAGCTGTGTTTATCCCAGCTGGATGCCCTTTCCAAGCCAGGAACCTTCAGGTTGGTTTCCATATGATCATTCCCCTTTGGTTTGAGTTCTGAAGAGGTTGACACTCAAGCTGATGCATTCTGAACATGCAGTCCACTGTTCATGTGGCCCTCGATTTCTTGTCTCCGGAGAGTGTGGATCAAGCCGCTAGATTAGCAGACGAAATTCGCTGCCTTCCAAATGACCATGAAGCTAAACTTCAAGTTATGGAGGTGAGCCAAGAATAAAATGCATCTTCCGCTTGCTGCTAGCTCCTTCATTAATAATTACGTGCCCTAATGGTCCGTTCTTTGATTTTGCTTTGTTGCAGGTGGGGAAGATATCGCTATATGCTGCTAGTTCAGCCATCAAAGAAGTCCAGAAACTGGTGCTTGATCCAAAGTGAGCCAAATAAAACAAAATCAACCCTATATTCCACCTGACCATTTTGCTATACCTTTTCGATTCTCGTATTAACAAAGGCGTGTTACCTTTCTGAATGACAGATTCAGTGCAGAGGTTGGCTTCGAGGATCCAAATCTGACAGCTGCAATCTCCGAGAACTTGGAGAAACTCACTGGTCCTAAGCAGATAAGTTGTGCATGAAACTTGTATCATACAGTAAATTGTTAAAGTTGGATGACAGAATACATTAGTACTCTAACCGCCTGCCTTATGTAGAAATGTACTCAAGTGTATCTTTGGCTCCTGGCCATCTCTCTGGCTGTATTATGATGTTCATAAACACATTCAATTGCTCATCTCATTCTTTAGGCCACTCTTTGTGCTATGGAGTTGCAGATAAATGAATCAAACAAGAGGCTGGACGGGATTAACAAACATGGTAACAGTGGCTTATCAGGCCGAATTGCATGTTTTAGTCGTCTCAATCTTTAGTTCAGTGTAAGCATGTTTTATACATCAAAGATGGAACATTTGTAGAAATGCCTCTCCTGTCGTTGTTTGATCATCAAGAGGTTAGACGGAACGATTTGGCGATTCGTCGGAAGTCTTTGCTAACGTTGGTCCAGGCTGATTCCGGCGCCTGAGCATTCAAGGTAAATAACCGGCCGCCGCGAGCGCAACAGACTGCTACATTGTGCCTATGGAATGAAGGGCTCTCAACTCTGAACTCCAGCTCGTAGTAGTTCACATTGCTCAATCTGTCCTCTCTTAGGCTTGACCGTATCAGAGTTCCCTTCACCTCTGGGCGTCGCGCCGACCCAGTGATCGCCCGAACCACGGCCTCGCCGACTTCCTCCGCCCCTCCAAAAGCCTCGATCCTGTAAACCATTGGCAGCAAAAGCTGTAAAACTCTCTGGGTTTAATTTAATCATGCGAAAGTTCACTTCTTTTGGCGCTAAATGCTGTTTGGGGCCGTAAGAAGAATCACTCACTTGAAATCCGGAGGAACAAGGGAGACAATGACGCTGACATTGAGCTCTCCGGTCGAACCGGGCGGGCCAAACGCAATCACCGGCTCGTTAACACTACTCCTTCTCCTCGCGGACCTCGAATTTTTGTCCAGAGGTGGCGGGTCGAGCGATCGCTGTAGTTCTGCTTTCGCGGCGGCGCGGTACAGAAGCGTCTGATCTCCGACCCAATTCGCCGGGTATATGAACTCTGTCGTCCATCAATTAACGGGAAATTAAACTAAACGGAAGAAGGAGAAAAGGAAAACAGAGACGGGAAATGGAGAAATTCATCAAATTCACTCAATGCTGACCGAATCCATCGCTTGCTTCGATGCAACGGCTGTATCCCCCGATCGGATAAACCACATCCAATTTGAGATCCCGGCCGGTCCCTGGCGACAAGCCTAGAAGGAAGCTGGTGATTCCGCCGAAATTCGCCCCGACGGCGACTAGAGCAGCTGACCCTGTTCCAAGGAGCAACCGGCGGCCAAATTGGGATGCCAGCGGTGCGAATTGCTCGGCAGGCGGTTTTGCTGAGTTCTGATAACTATCTTTCCGATCGCCGGAGGCCTGTGTCGGGAAAACCCTGCGGATAGGCGCAGTTGTGCATGCCATTGAGCCAGAAAGGTTATCTAATTTTTTGGTGGCTGTCAATTTTCTGCGGCTGATTTGGAATGGTTGCCGCTAGGCCTGGGCCTGGGCCGGGATGGAGAATCATTCGGGGTTAACTGAGCCCAGCTATGTGTTAGTCAAGATAACACAGATGTCTTCCCTTTTCTTGGGTCTCCATATTTTGCCATTTACTCGAACCGAGTCCAGTTTTGTCTTGTTCTCGTTTATAAACGAGCTGAGCTGAGTTGAGTTAGAGTCGGCTCATTTATTAAAATCTACTTCACTCAACGCTAAGATCAGGAGTTCTCCTTAAACTCAACTTTACGATAGTTTTGATAAATTAAACTCTAATATTTATATATATCATATATGATACATGTGATTAACTAATCTCATGTAGTATATGAAACATATTTGTTTACATATTCAAAATCTTAAACATGTGAGATATACAATTTAATAAACCTATGAATTATCAACAAGCCAAATCATGAGGTATATATTAATGTTCTCATAAGTCATACGTTGGTAGTTGAGCCCGTTCACGAGTCGAACACGACTTAGCTCAAACTCGACTCGTTAATAGACGAATCGATCTTTTCCCCTCAATCGAACGATTTATCATCGAGTCGAACGTCGAGCAGCTCCTAAATAGCTCGACTCATTAACAACCCTACATGTAATCCATGGAAATAGAACCATCAAACCAGGCGTCCCAGCCAAAGTAGGTAATAATCAAACGTCTAATTCAGAAGGGGAAAAGCAAGCATAGAAAACAAACTTCTTAAATAAAAAAAAAACACTACTCGACGCTGATCTCCTCGTCAACCTCCTCCTCGTCCGTCTCCACTTCTGCAGCCACACCGCCTCCCCCACCGCTAGGCGCGTCACCATCCGAGGGTGGAACACCTCCAGCACCTGAGGCGCCCGACTGGCTGTCCATGGCCTTCACGACATGCTCAATGAGAGCAATAGCGTCAAAGGCCACTTCTGGATGGTCGGCCTGGAGATTAGCCTTGATTATCTCCACGGTGCTAATCACGACGTTAACTTGGAGATCTTTGCCAGCATCTGATTCGGGGTAGTCGGCCAAGTCTTGATTCAGGCGCTCCATCTCGGCCTGAGACTTCTTTAGCTCACGCTTGTAATGCGCCCGGGACTTCTTTGTCTTTTTATGCGCCTCCTCCAGATCGTCAACAGCCTGGCGCATCACGCTCTTCTCCTCCAGTAACGCGTCCCGCTCCCGCAGGAGCGCGACGCCCCTCTCCCGGAGCTCCTTGGTCACCTTCTCCCACTCGGCCTTGTCTGCCTCGGCCTGAGCCTTGATCTCTCCCTCCAACTCGGCTCGAGCCTTGAGGCGCTCGGCCGCCAGCTTCGCCTCCAAATCGGACTTGGCAGCATCCAAGTCCGCCCGCAGGCGCTCAGCAGCGATGGTGGCGTCCGTGCTTTCTCGAGAAAATCGAGGCAATTTCACGCGTGGTAGCCTCGCAGAGGAGCATCATCTGAGGCACGTAGGCACAGAGTAGAAAACGATTAGTACCAAATAATCAATTGATAAAAGGGTGAAGGAAAGTAGTATGCGCCTCATTACCTGAACGCTCATGTTCGTCAACTTTGTCCAGGGCTTGTCTGAAATCAGGCCAGCCGGGTGCTCTACCACGTCGTAGTGCGCCCTTGCCATCGCCACAGACGCCGGGATGTTTTTTGCCGCCCGAACGGGGACATCCACTGGCACCTTGACTAGAGGGCGCCTAGACTGGAGGTATGGAGGAATCACCTCTCCAGTGTGCGCCCCAATCGTGGGCTCCACAAAGCTGCGGGGCAGCCCGGGCTCGCGCACAGTAGCGGACTTGTTCTTATTCCCCGGACCTTGTAAGGCGCCGCCAGCTCTTTTGCGAGAGGCTGCGGAGGAAGGAGACGGAGGAGTGCTCACCCCGCCGGTCTCTCGGGGCGTGGAGTGGGAGGATGGAGCCTAGGAAGAGAGAGGCTTGATGCTCTGAAGCCGGTGAGTCACGAATGGCCGCCTCACCTTCTGGGGCGGCCGGTAGAGGCGAGGCGTCGCGCCCCCTTGAAGAAGCACTCGCAGCCGCGGCCCTTTTCACCCTTAACCTTGTGGGCTGCGCCCTGGTCGGACGAGGCGCTTGATTGGTTGGAGCGGCTTGGCCGATGTTCGCGTTGCGGAGAAGGTCGAGCTTCGACCTTATCAGGTTTGTCACCGAGGTAAAGTTAGTCCCTGTACCAGGCAAAGAAACAAAAGCGGGTTAGAGCAAAAAATCACAACATTAGTAAAAGCGTGTGGGCAATGAAAAGGTGCATAGTTAGTACCATCGCCGTAGAAATCGGCGAGAACACGAGCATACTCATCCCCGGCATCGAGGTCGATAGGGTGGGCCGATATACTCTTCGCCATGTCCTGCTCAGTCTGACTTAGAGGCTCCACTTTGTTAAAAGCGAAGCGGTTACCCAAAGACCACTCTGAACTCACAGGGCGCCCGCTCTTAAAGAAGGGCACTTCACGTGGTTTGACGAAGAAATACGAGTCAAACCACGAGCGCCCCATCTTCCGGCAAACTACTGATGAACCCGTACCCTAGTGCTTTACGCCTTTGTAAGATCAGGTAGTTGTCACTTTTTGTCATTTTGAAGAAATGTTTAAAAAGTTTAAAGGTGGGAGGCACGTGATGTCTCCGACACTGTAGCGAAAAACAATGGTAGTCAGAATAACGGAGGGAGAAAGGCGTGCGAGGGGACACGCGCAGGCAACCATGACGCCCTCAAGGACAGGCTCGATGGGGAAGCGTAGGCCGAATCTGATGAACTCTTGGTACAAACCCACCCACCCCTCGCCGCACAACCCAATCCGAGCCTCGGGGGGCGCCTGGATGTACCTCCAGGGCGCAGGGAGTTGGGCGCACACGACCAGTTTTTCTAGGCGCGCCCCTAATTGTTTCGAGGCGTGGTGCGGACCGACATCTTCTAGGGGCAACATCGAAGTATTTTGAGGCGCATAGCCAGGAGGCCACATCGAGTCCCATGGCCGAAACATGTAGTCTTGGGACACGGAAGCGCCTGAGTCAAAGGAAAGGGCAAGGGGTAAGGCAACGGAGGGCGAAGGCGACGTGGTGCTTAAAAAGAAAGGGGGGGGGGGCAGTGAAAACGAAGTGCGTAGGGGCGCTTGAACCCTATGATAAACGTTGAGAGAAGTGTTGAAGGGGACGGGAGAAAACAGATAAACGACGAAAGGTAAGGCGCATAGTGATAGACTTACTCGATGCAGCAGGGGCGGCAGGAGCGTTTGAGGCCTCGCCATCGGCAGGCGCCTGGGATCTGGGAGGCGCAGAGGAGGTGGGAGGCGCCTCTGTGGTAGGTGGAGTGGACCCGCGGTGGGGGGCGGCCGTCTCGGCGGAAGGCGCGGGAGTGCTGAGCGGTATTTGCCGGGAGGATGCCATAGCAAACGAGGGCGTGTGTGGAAGAGCAAGCCGGGAGCAATTGAGAGAGTTTGTAGCTAGAGAGAGGAAGTAGAGAGATGAAGTTTGCAAGTTGTGAGAACTGTTAAGGGGGGAGGAAGGGAATTTATAGGAAGAACCGGGCGAGCGAAGGAGAGAGAGAAAGGGGAGGCGAAGAGACTTCCCCAATCCGCTCTCGATTTTGAAATTTGAATTTCGAATCGCGAGCGGATCGGGGGGAGGGAAGAGAGAGGAATCGCAAGAGGCACCAGGGCACAGAAAAAGAGGCGGAAAAGGGGGGAAAAGCATGGATAAAATAAATAAATAAATAAATAAAAAAGAGTAAGTAAAAGAACACGCACTCACGTGTGTACATGCGAGTGGGGGAAAGGAGCATGGATAAGAAAAGAGAAATACAAGGAAGAAGCAGAGAGCAAATCGTACGAAGAAAGAACGCATAGCGAAGAAGGAAGCGCGCAAACCTCAAGAGAGGCGAGGCGCATGAACCTCAAGAGAGCCGTTGGGAGCGGACGCATGTCCAAGGGGGCGCGGAGAAAAAAAAAACACACAGTCAGGCCCCTAACTTCGGGTGTTAGGCGCCTAACTAGGGGGCAATTGTTGGGGGAATGAGAAAGCCCATGGGGGCAGGAACCTTGGGCTGAAGGGCGTCCGGGCTTAGGCCTGAGTGGCTGAGATAGCGTGTGGGACAGGTGGGACTGGGCACCTGGCGGAGTGCATATGAGACAAAGGCAGCCAACGGTCGGAAGTGTACGAAAAGCTGATCACGTGATGTCATGCGCCCCCAACCTCTGACCGAAGTGTCAGATGGTCGAGGCGCATGGGCTAGGGGTGTACGGCGCATTTATGGCGGGTCTGACACAGGGCGAGAGCGACGTGTACCGGTCGATCTCGCCCCGGGTATAAATAGTCGAGTAGGTAAACCTCATTTACTCAGTTTTGCTTCTCTTACTAGAACTGTTCCTTCACTTCTCTCTCTAAAATGTAGGTTCTCACTTGAGCGTTGGAGTGCTAACGCACCAATTCGGTCCGCTAGGCGCTTGTGTGGGTGCAGGAAGACGGCTGTGCAAGCGGACGAGAGAGACAGGAGCACAAGACGTAAGAAGGGGGTTACGGGGCATAAACGGCTGTGCAAGCGGACGAGAGAGACAGGAGCACAAGACGTAAGAAGGGGGTTACGGGGCATAAACAGTTGGGTTTGAGGTAATTTTTAATTCAACAAACAATACGGTGTCCTACCACTAGGGGTGAAGATTTCGACCAAACCTGTCCCATTCTACACATGCTTTCGTTTAAATTACATGTAACTATACTCAAATTGTTAATGATTTTACTATTATGACCGCATATTTTAGTTATAAAGAAGTTGTAAATAAATGAGAAACTCAATTTCTAGAATAATTTAATACCATATTATAGTTTGTTTCTCAGCTTTTCAATGAGAAATGAACATTTTAATATATATTTTTTAAATTACATACTTATATGAATTGATCTGTTACGATCTGTACCCTCTAGTAAAATTATCCAATCTGACACGGGACAAGTACAAGTATGGCCAACATGCCCATACTTACCACAAACCAGGTATGAAAGTTGCACTACTAATTAAGAAGAATTCATCCATATCATCGGCGGATCTAGGGCTGGGCCAACCCGGGCCACGGCCCAGCCCTTCGCTGGATTCAGAGCTAGTATAGAGCTTATAAATTTTTCGATTTAGGTATTCGGGCCAGTATATTTAATGGTCGGTCGAGTGTTATTTGATAATAATTTTGTGTAGTTAGAAAAATTGTATAGATGAACATATGCAAATCATTACTCTCAATTTAGTTTAGGAATTCTAGCCCGAATAATTTTCATTTGAAAAAAAAACAATAAAACCTAAAAGGCTAAAATGTAAAAGAATGTATAAAGTTTCATTGAAATAAGAAAACCCTCTAAACAAATTGATTTGTGGGTTGATTCGTCTAGTGTTGACCTTGCCCGTTTCAGCGGCTACCATGGAGAGAACATTTTAAGCAATGAAATATGTGAAAACTAATTTTGAGTAAATACAATTTATTAGTTAAACCTTTTAGTCTTTCCAAATTATTAGCCAAACCTTTCGAAATACAAAATATTAGCTAAATATTTTGTAACGCATCAAAATATTAGTCATTTGTTTGTTATCGTTGGTAATCTTGTAACTATTTTTTATTTGAAATACTTAAATTTAAAAATATTAACTATTTTTGTTTACGATATATAATATTATATTGAAATGCGACCCAGTGCTCTACTGTGTTCTGGATCCGCCGCTGATCCATATATATATATATATATATATATGAACGGCGATCCGGTCCGCTCTTTAGCAGGACAATGCTAGGCTCCGAAAAATTAAATCACCAAACGAAACTGAAAAAAGTAAATGATGATCACTAATTCACTACTTTAGTTAATCAACCAACTTTTCCGATTACTATATATAATATTAATAATAAAATAATAACTAATGCCCTCCGTGCGTGGATGCGCCGGCGAAAGTAGTGCTTCGATCAAATCGGCGGCGAAAACCCCGGAACTATATTATTAATCCTCGCAATTGTCGACGTAGAAGACGGCGCCGGCCCACCATTAGTATTAACCCCCAAGAAGTCAACCGTCGTCATCACATCCCCGCCACCAAAGTTGTTCATCAACAACGCGGTAGCGTTACTATTATCACTATCGCCGTCGTCGAAGAAGCCGGTGTGACAGCCTGGCAAGTTCCCGTTGAATAGTACTCCTCCTCCCGCCACGTGGAAGAATTGGTCCATGAATCCTTGATGATGGTCGCTGCCAAGCTGTTTTGGCGCCACGCTGCTGAGCGTGGACCCCATCTGGGCGGCCTTCTGAAGAAGCGCGGTGGCTGACATGGATGCTGAGCTGGCGGGATGAGGGAAGAGTGGGGACAAATTGGTGGTGAGGTGGAGGGAGGATGGTGGTGAGGTGGCGGAGGAGAGGCTAGGAGCAGGTGTAGTATTGGCGGTGGAGGTTGTAGGGGTAAAAAAGTAATTGTCGGCAGTTGAAAATGGGGTTGGTCTTGGTGAAGAGGTCACGATGAAAGGGTTGATCTTGGTGTCTAGAGGGTCAAAATGGTCAATTTGTGGTGGTGAGGTAATAATGTTTTTAATAACAATATTATTATTATTATTATTAATATCGTGATTATTTGGTTGAGTTTGTGATGAATTGATCATTACATGAGTTGGTGGAGGGTTTAAAGTGCTGACGTTGTTGTTGTTGTGTTCCTCAGTTAGGGCATCGCAGAATGCCCTATGAGTTATGAAGCTGTCCCTCCTGCATTAGGGTAAAAGAAGCAAAAGTTAACAATTATAAATGGAAAGGGTGTGGAAACCTTTTGTTAATTATTACTAAATTTTTTATACTTCATAGATTGAGAAGCAAAGACACACATCTTTGATTTTACTGTATTCTTTCCGTTAAAAATTACATAGCAGTAGCGAGTTCAATAAAGAAGATCAGACTAAAAGCTCAATATTAATAATATATGCCATCCTACCTTCATTGTGTTTTTAATCCATTTCACATGAGAAAATTGCAAGTCTCTTAAAGGATTTATCCTTCTAAGCCCTACGAAATCCACATGGAGATAATATACCACGAATACCAGGTTTCATCTTGATTTTCAGATGCCTAAATTCAAAAAGGCTTTCTCGTCAGTCTCTTTCATTCTAATGAAAGACCACAGTATTAGATAGAAACTCACAATCACAAATCATGATTTCTTCACTTTTTTTTGTCCGAAATCCACCTTCTAAAAAATGGATTAATCGGAACATTTTATGGCGACGATGGAATGTATAACTTGATGACTCTCCATGATGGGTTTTCAGAATTCAAAGAGAGACATCATTAGGTTTTGCGATTAATCAATACTTATAGGCTATAGCTAAATGTCTAACAATAAGAACATTCATAGGATAGGTGACGATCAAAGAGAGACTAGAGGGAAAAAGAGGAAGGCAGTACAATAAAGCCATAAATGAGCTGAATTCCCTTCTTCTATAAGGACAGCAAACGTTTGTCAATCTCGTCACGCCAAACTTATAAATTATAACTCAACGATTGAGACTTGGGATAAAGATGGTAATAATAAACTGGGTAGATTTTCTGCCGCACTTCGTTGCGGCTTCTAATAGGATTATATGTATTGTTTACAAACCGTATTTAATTTATGATCGTGTTTAGCAGCGGTCCATTAAAAAAATCATAAAATAATCTAAATCAGTAGGTGATTTTAGCTATATAAACTATTTAATCGCATTTGAACTATGATTTTAGCATAAAATGCGCTAATGCTAACTTTTGCGGCACGACCTTCGGTATGGTTTTATAAATTTTTTTATTTTTTCTGAACATAAGACTCAGGTTGAAGGAACGTATCAAGCCTGATTTAACCATGATTGAACTATGATTTTAGTATAAAATATCATAATGCTAACTTTTCTGCTACGACCTTCAATATGGTTTTACAATTCTTGAGTTTTTTCTGAGATACATCGAGGCTCGGGTTGGAGCACCGTCAAGTCTGATTTTAACCACGACTGAACTGTGATTTTAGCACAAATACCCTAATGCTAACTTTTACTGTATGATTTTCGGTACGTTGTTACAATTTTTTTTATTTATTTTCCTGAACATAAATCGAGACTCGAGTTGGAGTTACATGTTTGGTTTTTCTGAACATAAATCGAGGTTCGAGTTGGAGCAACGTGTCGAATATGATTTAACCATGGTTGAACTATGATTTTAGCACAAAATATCTTTTTTATTTATTTATGAGTGATATCAAGAGAAGACAAGAGATATACAAACAAAACTACCCATAAACCCCCTAGAAGCAACACCCTAGTGACAGGGGCGGATACATGGAGGTTTAGGGGTGTCCTGGGACACCCCTAAAATTTGGAAAATGATTATCCAACCTTCGATAGTAGTTTGTGTATGGGTAAAAAAAAATTAGTGATAGTGGAACACCCTTAAAATATGGAAAATGATTATTCAACCTCATATAGTATTCTGCATATGGGTACAAATAATATTTAAGTGATAGGGTCTATGTGATTTGAATTTGGGAACACAACTACTATTAGTAAATATAGTTTCAATTAGACTACAACTCATTTGTAGTTATGTTTTAGATCAAAATATAATAGTAAAAGGCTATTTTTATCCCCAATTATTTTCAAAAACTAGCGATTAAATCCAATTACGGGTTACCCTTGTCTAGTAAGATATGTTACGAGAGATTTGTTGAGCAGTGTATACACCGAATGTATTTTACCATTCTTTCATAACACGGAACATGTTTGAACTTTTATTCTAACTTTTACTATGAATATTTTCATATTTAATAATTATTTGACTTGATTTTAATTTTAATTTTAATTTTTTTGAAGCGGACACCTCTATTTAAAATTCCTGAATCCGCCATTGCCTAGTGAACCCATCCAAAAAAGTCAAAAGACTCTAAGCAGTGCTTTAGGCGCCACTCTATGGGCAGCACTGTTGGCGGCTCTAGGAACCTCCCTAAAATCTATACAAACTAACAAAGAGTCTAAAAGCTGATGACACTCCCGTAGCACCGGACCTCCAAATGAATCTTCTATGACACTTTGTCGGAACTGGTTGACAACCACCTCAAAGTCACCTTCCACTATCACGTGAGTCAAGGATCTTGAGACGACGATGGTGATAGCATCACTTATTGTTAGGAGCTCTGGCAGGAAGGGGTTGACTACTCCCATGTGATGCATATCGGCTGCCAACACCACATGCCCGTCTGACCCATGGATAACAAGACCAGATGAGCACCCTGAGTCACGAACAACTGCATCAAAGTTGATCTTTAAATAATCGTCGTGGAGGCTCCCAAGTGGCTTGATGAGGATTATGAAGCAGCGATCTAGGGGCAGGGGGTTGGAGACTTGAAAGACCTGGTTGTAGAAATGTCTAGCGAGGGAACGGACATGAGGTTGGTAGAATTCAAAAGTCACTTTATTTCTAAACTTCCAGATTCTCCAAGGTAAACAGACGCATTGGAGAATGTGGAATGGGGAGATCTCAGAGATCATGACAAGTCGCCACCATTGACTAAAATTAACAATCGGGGCGGAATCAATGATGTTGCTCAATCCCACTTAGCACAAAATACCTTAATGCTAACTTTTCCTGTATGACTTTCGGTATGATTTTACAAATTTTTATTTTTCTGAACATAAATCGAGACTCGGGAGACTATGGGTTGGAGTAACGTGTTTTTTTTAAATATAAATAGGCTCGGGTTAGCAGGACTTGTAACTCTGATTTAACCATGGTTGAACTACGATTTTAGTACAAATTAAAATACCCTAATGCTAACTTTTCCCTTCATGACTTTTGGTATGATTTTACAAATTTTTATTTTTCTGAACATAAATCGATACTCGGATTGGAGTAACGTGTCAAGCCTAAACCAATTGCATTTTCCCACTTCCATTTTAACACTGAGAATTGAGCTGCGGGTGTGCGGGTGAGAGGGGGAAATGACAGGTTTTTCTGAACATAAATCGATACTCGGATTGAAGTAACGTATCAAGGCTAAACCAATTGCATTTTCCCACTTCCATTGTAACACTGAGAATTGAGCTGCGGATTGGTGAGGGGGAAATGACAGCATGTCATTTAAATAAAACTCTTATGCTACAGTACCTTTGTTATAACTTTAATTATTAGGAAGGATGTTCCTTCTCAGCTTACAAAGACTAAGGAAGTCAAAATTTTATTCATTGCAGTCCTCCATTTAATCAATATTTATACAATCCACGCCATCTTATTCTTCATCAGCAATGACATGCAGATTAATTAAGTTGCATTATTATTTAGTAATCTAACATAGAATTTAGTTTAGTTCCTGACTTCCGATGGGGTCCACTTTCTGTACATTGTTGACAATTTGCTCCTTTAGCTACTTCTTTCTTATTTCTCTATTTTTCAATTTACAATCAAGTTAGATCCTAGAAAAGATCCAGGAGTGTTCTTTTATACTATATAAATACATTCTTAGAAGATTAATAACAGGGTAGTTGCTTTGTGGAGCAAAATAACCAAATTATGCAAGTTTTATTTTGTATAAACAAATGCGACGTATTTTTAATTTCATATCACAAAAAAATCACCAAAAACTTCCATTATTGATACTCTCAAATAGGTATCTTTTGATATATATTTATTTTCTATAAATCTTCCCATATTAACGTAAATGTATAATATTCGCACTTCACATATATTCACCTACTAGGGATTAATAATTTCCCCCCAAAATTTTAGATATGTCACAAGGCTAGCTCCGCCAATTCCAACACCCACTTACGCCTAACGCTTTTTTAAACCCTAATATGGAGATGAAATCGATTCAAGAACTCATCACAAGAACGAAAGGGGTATCGAGTTTTTTTTCCTAATTTACCTGGAGAAGACGTTGCCACAATCACACTTGTACTCCTTAGTCCCACAGGTCTTCCCATGAGCCTTCCAGTCCGATTGAACCGCGTACTTCTTGGAACACTTGTCGCACTTCCACTTCTTCTCCCCGTGCTTCCTACAAAAGTGCTTCTTGATCCCTGTGAGATCGCCCAGGGCCCGAGCCGGACTGTGATGGACGCAGCCCGGTTCGGGGCAGACATAGACCCTCTTCCTGACCTCGACACTAGGGTTCCTCTGCTTGAGCTTCCAGGGGAGGTTGTGGCCTCTCCTGTGGAGCTGCAGGTTCTGGTCCCGCTTGAATCCTTTGTTGCATATTTCGCATATGAATCTGTTTGTGGCCAAGAGTGAACTTGGGGACAGAGCTATCACCTCAGCCTTTGGGTCTGCATCGGAGAGGAATAATAATTAATTAATTCACGTAACATTATAAACAGTCAGATGCAATGATTGAGATATCCCATCCAATAATTGAACTCCAATTATGCAATCCTATTAGTATTTATTTTTCTTTGCTAGCTAGGAGTTATTTTTTTTGAAACAATAATTCTTGACTAGTTTTCTTTCCACCACTATGATCTATGTCTCTGTGAAGGTTGCCAAATTCTATTAAGCCATTAACCCAGTTTGGCAATCGAGTTCAACCAATTTAAACCGTTTTAGTAAAATATGTGGGAAAATCTCTAATACTAAATAAATTACACATATATTTGACATCATTTTAAAACAATATCACTATCTACATTAGCAAATTATTTCTTCAAAATAAATTATCAATCTTCATTTTCAAATCCGATCAACCTAGCTGGTTTTAACTGGTTTAACCCAATTTGACTATGTTCGAAAACCATCAAACCGGAGCATATTTCAACCATTCTAATATCCAGTTCTGATTGGACCTGGTTGAACCATCTGATCGAATAGTAGTTTGACAACCTTGGTCTCTACTATTTGCTCTTTTCACACCCTGCTTTAACACCAAATAATTCATCTAGCTAGCTAAGCTAGCTGGAGAGAGGCACAAGAAAAACAAGAACTAAGACAGAATAATACAAAAGATGGAGCAGAAAAGGAGGGTTTTCAGATGGCGGAAAAAGTGGAAGCTGGCTTTAGCCATATCTGTGTGTGGCTTCCTGGTCGGATTTGTATTATCCCCTCTCCAAACTATTTTACAAAAATGAGATCTATAATATGAAAGGCGAAAAAGATCATATTATGGGTTTCAGACGTAGTTCAAATAATTCGAGTTATCGATTCATAATTGACGTAACTTCCCATGAGTTTGTCGTATATTGATAATTGGAGAAAGAGTAAGAAATTAAGAAGAACTATAAGCTCAAGAAATAGTTGGATTCATTAGCTCAGTGAGAGGTTAGAGAGGAATTGAGTTGATTAAGCAGACCTGGGTTGCCAGGGAGATTTCTCCTTTTCTTGACAACAGGATGAGGATGAGTAATTAGACTCTCTTCTTGTTGGGGAGGTAATAGTAATTCTTGCTCTACACCAACACCAGCATTTGTGTTCCCAGAAGAGAATAAGCTCACACCACCACCTGTGATATTTGACATGGATGATAAAAGGTAAAAAAAGGGTAATTAGACCCTCTTCTTGTTTGTTTTCTTCCTCTTCACTGGTTGAAGCAAAACAAAGGCAAGAAAACAAGCAGAAAGGGGTGATTGTTGTTGGAAGGTAATGGGTTTTTGAGGAGATCAGGACTTGGAAGTTAGCTTCTAGCAGCTAGCTCCTGTAATTTGGCTGTTTTTTATTTTTATTTTGGATAGCAAGAAGGGACAAAGAAGAAGTGAAGGGTTTTCATCCCTCCATGTGTTGTTTAGAGAGACAGAGAGAAGAGAGAGTTCTTATGGCCAAGTGCACAAAGGGGAGCAAATCATAATAAGAGGGCAACAAAACCAGGTCCTGGTTTTGGAAGTATATATTGTAATAATATAGGATAATATGGATTGAGTAATAGACAAACATTTTGTCTTCTTTTCCCCCCCCAAAGGTTGATTATTGATGGTTAGGACCCCATTGAATTTGATGTAAGGATCCTCATGAGCAGGAGATTCAAACTAAATTAAGCCTCATGGGGGGTTGGAACCAGTTGCTTTCAAAATGAAGCTAGCTAGCTAGCTACAGCCTATAGAGAGTTCATTAATTCCTCAATTTTCTTTCAAGGGTTGAATTTTGTCATTTCAATTATGGTATACAATAACTTTTAAACTGATGATTGGTACTTAAGAGATTGAGAAATATAATTGAAAGTCAGTTGCCTTAATTCATTAGACCAGGAGTGCATGCATCACTATTTATAAGTAACGAATCCTCCGTCCTTGTAAAGTCGGATATAGATAGAAGTAAGGGTAGCTTAATAATTGAACTAGTGATTAACAATAAACGAACGAAGAGACGAAACTGTAAAATGCCAGGATGAGGTGTATAACTGCACGTCACTAGGCCTGTCAATTCGGTTTCGGGTTAACTCGAACCCGAACCGATATTCACATTCTCGGTTTCGGGTTTTTCGAGTTCAACCCGATATCTATAATAGCGGTTTCGGGTTACTGAAACCCGAAAAAACGAAAGCTGAAACTGGGACTGGGTTCACGGCTTCACGCTGTCGTTTTGGGAAGGAGAGTCAGCCAGCCCTAGCTCTCGACTCCACCTTGTCCTCGTTCTCGCAGGCGCAGTCTCACTCTCTTCGTCTTCGCCAAACGAAACAGAGCTCCCTCGCCACCATCATCGTCCTCGCCGCCAGCGGCCTCGTGAGGACCTCCGACCGCCATCGAATCCCTCGCCGGCCGCCTCCATCAACTTCCTTGCACTATGTTCGTGGGTTCTAGTCTTTGACAGAGTTGAATCCCTTCCTCGCCACTTCGCTCTTCGCCTCGGGAAGGAGAGACCTAGTGCATGCCCACATTCTTCCGACGACTCCGCCATGGAATCCCCGTGAGTCTCTTCGAACAATTCTTCTATTGCTTCAATTTATTACTGGGTTCTTGTTACCGTAGCTAATTTGTTAGAGTTTTTGTTACTCGATTCCTCTTTTCCTTGGCGACCATATGGGCAAGTCAGCTCTCTCCCAATATCTTCTTTGACTGAGGGCAAACAATTTTTGCTGCTGATCGACCCATCAACGACGAGACAGAAGCGGACACATATGGAATCCCAGTAAGCTCCTTCTTCATTCAACTTGGTATTACTCGATGATCCCGGGTTGGAAACTTGGTTTTAGAGCTTTTGAGTCGGCATTCAGCACAGGAGGTCGAGTTTTAGATTCGTTTAGGACCTCCTTATCCCCTGAAGTTGTGGAGGCTTTGATTTGTTGTGAAGATTGGAAAAGTTCTTCAGACTCCGAGTTGGTGGCTGATGGAGAGGATGAGGGTGATGAAGTGGTATTTCAAAAGGGTAAGGATTTAATCTTTCTCTTTATTCTTATATTTGTTATCTTGATCAAGTGATATTTTAACAAGTTGTTATTGTTTATGTTATCCAGTATATGCAGCTTTTCAAGCTCGGAGTGCAAGTGCACCTGCAGGACCTAGTGGAAGCTCTCATGCAGGACCTAGTGGAAGCTCTCCTGCTACCCATGTTTTGATCCCGAGTCCTACTATGTCACAAGTGGAAGAAGACTATGTCGACGACAATTCTGATGAGAATGATGAGACTTATGTGGATGTAGAGCCTGGTGAGGAGTGATAATGGTAGTAGTGTTTATCTTGTATGGTGGATGAACTTTGATTTTACTTGGATGTTATCATTTGAGAATTGTAAAACTAATGTGTTTAATTATGAGTTGAAGATAATCTCATCTATGATTGTTGGTATTTTATGTTGAACAAAATTATTTATTATTTTGCGCCAAACACCAAACATTTTTTTTGCATATGATAGTTGATATACCTTCAATTTTGGACCTATGGTATTACTAAAACATTTAATTATACGAAAATCCACAATTAAATAAGATATGATTAAGTTACGTATAAAATATGTTTAAGTACTAAAACATCTAAACTACTAATACTCTTTAATAGTTAATAGTATGTATATAGTTATAGAATACATAAACTTAAATATTTTAATAATTAACTAATAATTTAATAATAAAATAATATATAATATTAGTTTTATACTGTCCACGTCCCATAAAATTAAACATAATGGTTAAATAAGAATATACAAATAATAAGAATAAAATTGTTTGTACAAGCAAAAGAATGTAAAATTTAAATCACAAAAGTATTTAAAAAAATCAAACCGGTTTGGTTTCGGGTTCACCCGAACCGAACCAAAAACTGCCAGCATAATTTTTGGTTTCCTGTACCCGAAACCCACAAATTATAGTTTCGGGTTGTGTGGCTCGGGTTTGGTTTTTTGCGGGTTTCGGTTCGATTACCCGACCCGACCCGACCCGACAGGCCTACACGTCACTGCTGATAATGGTCATGAGCTAACAGAGCTTGACCATTGAATTTTCAATTCCAACCGCTACTCCGCCTTTTGGGATCATCATTAAAGAAGACAAGTCGATGCACACCGTTTTGTTCCCCTGTAGCCTTTCTTTGTTCGCTACACGACGTTTCCTCTATGCGGCGGTGTTCCGTTTAATTAAAGCATCTGTTTGCTTTTCGTCCAAGATAGAGTAGTTTCCTTTTGAAGTAAACAACAAACTTGTACTGTTAGTAGCTGACAATTGTTGTCTGTTAGTGCTAGAACAACCATATATAGTCGATTGAGATGTGTTTGAACCTAACTGAGTGTAGGAGTGAGATTCACGTAAAAGGGAGTCGAGGAGAATGAGCAACAGGAATCAGTTTAAGACTTTGGAGGGAAAGAAGGAAAGAGTTGAGAGAGTCTTTTAGAGAGAGAAGTGTATTCTTTTCTTAGAGATAGAGTTTTCAAAATCCGATCCCCTCACCCACTGGAGTAAATGCCTTATTTATAGGCTACATGGTGGTGGGTGAGTTACATGGTGACATGACTACTGACATGTCAGAAGGCTAGACCATACCTCTACCTAAGACAGGTACATTTAGCCTTTCATTATACCTAGGAATAGGCCTTTCATTATACCTAGGACTAGGACTGCGATGTGACCACTCGGCGGGTGGAACGCGGCGTCGTTTTCCCACACTCGCTAATTTAGTCAACGCTGGACTCGGGCTGCCCTTGGACGCGCCGGTGCTGATGCGCCCGTCTCTTGGTATTGGCGCTCGCCGGTGTGCTCGCTCGCGCCGGTGCTGGTGCGCCCGTCTCTTCTGACGTCGATGTTTCTTTGGCGCGGCGGAATCCGAGTCACATGCCCAACAATTGCCCCCCATCAGGGGGTGTTCCGCGAACGCCGCTTGTTTGACTTCTGCTCGATTGACTCGGGTCCGCGTGATCTTCGTGAGCGGTTTAGGATTGGCGTCCTTTGATTTCTGCGCGATCTTCGTGAGTTGAGGGCTGGTGGTTTTTTATTGTTGCGCGCGATTGACTTGACTGCGCGTGACGCTTTCTACTAAGCTTGGAATTTTGGGGGTGTTTTTTCTCTCCGCGGGTGTGTCATGCCCCCCAGGCGATGCGCGGAGCTTGTGACGTCATCGGCTAGTGCCTATGCCTATGTTAGGTGTCCACGTCTCCTTGTGTGGTTGGTTCGTTTTGGCGGCCGTTTTGAAATTCGAAAAGGCTCTGACGGTTGCGTTTTTCGAGGCAACTTTAACTATTTGGCTTCCTTTCTCGGGTATAAGTAGTTAGCTCTCGGGAGGTTGAAAATTCATTCTGCCTCTTCGAGCTTTTCTTCTTGTTTTCTCTTCTCTGCGTTGAGTTTGTATTCGAGATTCTTCTCCTTCTTCTACAATCTCCTTTCTCTGTTTGTTGTTGCCGAAATTCGAGATTCTGCCATGGCTAGCATCAACATCAACGAGATCGAGGTCGTGCAAGACGAAGAAGGTAATCTCTTCTCTCCTTCGCGTGTTTCTACTGATCCCTCATTGGATCTGGATGATTCCGGCAACGGGGGCGGCGGCGGTGCTGGCGGTGATGGAGTTCCGGCGACGCCATCGTACGACGTCGATTCGGAGCTGGATTGCCGTGGCTCGTCCGATGTGGATGCGACGGTGTCTGGGAGTGGGCAAGCCGGTGCCAGTGCTCGTGGCGTGTTAATAATCCGCCGCGACCGTGCTGGTGGGTCTGGGGGCGCTAATCGTGAGACGCGAGAGGGGTCTGAAACGCAATCAGTGCCGCACTGCATCGCGCGCGTGTCCAAGGCGATAAGCCACCTAGGGTTCCGTGGTGTGGGAGCGGCTTATAAGATCATAGATTGGGCGGAAATGTGGGGCGATGAGCCAGCGCCGCGAGACAGTCTGCTGCGGGGGCCTGATCACGCGTCAATCTACGGCCGGAGGGAAGTGACGGAGATTGTGCGCGGGTTGGGTTTGCCCTCCAGTTGGGAGTACGCGATTCTCTCTACGCGGAGTACTGTTGGTAATTGCCCCGCAGGCTGGATCGGGGTGTATACCGAGTACTGGGTGATGGGGTTTAAGTTCCCCATTGACCCGCTACTGTGCGCGTTATACAGGCGGCTTAACTGCTCGGTTGGGCGCCTGTCTCCATCGATCATCATGCACGCGAGTGGATGCGGCTCCGCGTCCAGAGAAATCAGCGGCCGGAAGCTCGTCTGGTGCGACGCTTCTGCAGAAGCTGCCCGAGATGGCTTCTGCCATCAACTACTTTCGCGACGTGCGGATCCACACCGGCGCGGCGTGCAATAGCGTAGCAGCAAATACCGCGCTCCGCGCGTTGGGGCCTCACCTGAGCACCCCTGAGCGGATGGAGAAATCCGATCCGCTGCAAGACCTGGCTCAGATTCATTTTGCGGTGAGGTTATTTTTGATTGCTTCGACATTATGTAAAATCCTTGCTAATTTTTGCTAAGTCTCGGGGCGCTTGCGAGTGTAGGGTTTGCTGGCGGCCTTCCGGGCCTAGAAGGAGCGGGGTTCGCACCACGCGAGGCTGCAGGCGGAGCAATCAAAGATTGTCCAGTTGGAGGGTAAGCTCGCGGGTGCTCAGAATCGCGCCGAGGTGGCAACAACCAAGGCCAACGAGGCCATGGAGGAGCTCGGCGTTCTGCAGAGTAAGCTAGCGTCGGATGTGGAGGTTGCTACGGCGCGCGTTCGGGTGGAGTTGGAAGCGGATCATGCTGAGAAGCTCAAGCAAGCCCGCGAAGAGTTTCAGAAGGAGAAGGACGACCTGGTTCGCCTTCATAACGTTGCGAAGGCAGAAGCTGTGCGCGCCGCTTAGGTCGCTGCCGTCCGTTAATACAAGTCTTCACCCGCCTTCGGGAAGATTTTGGCGGACGCCATGACTAAGACCGTAATTTCCATTCGCAAAAAGGTGCGACCAGAGAACCCGGGGGTCCGCTGGAACACTGGCACGATGGTGCGTCATGTTCAGATTTGGCTGGGTGAGAAGAGGTCTTTGGAGGCGGACTCGGAGCCGGAGGTCGAGGAGGAGGAGGAAGCGTGCTCGGATGAGGGTGAGGATGAGGACGAGGAAGGCGATGCGGAGAAGGGCGAACAGGGCGATGCTGCGCAGGCGAACGCTGGGGATGCTTCGACGGAGCAACAAGTGTGATCGCGCTGTTTTGCAAATTTTTTTTATATCAAGTGTAGTTCTTCCTTTTCCCTCTAATGAAATCCAAACGTTCTCCTTCGAAATTTGTTGGCGCCAATAACACATGATTATCACTATTGTTTTCGTTCTTCTGGACGGTGTTGGCGCGAATAACTCGTGGTTATTGCTGTTTCTTGTTCTTTCGAACTTTGTTGGTGCGAATAACTCTTAGTTATTGCTATTTTTTGTTTTTTCGAATTTGTTTTGGCGCGAATAACTTTTTGGTTATTGCTATTTTCTGTTCTTTCGAACTTTGGGGGCGCAAATAACTTCTTGGTTATTGCTATTTTCTTGTTCTTTTGAACTGTGTTGGCGCGAATAACTTCTTGGTTATTGCTATTTTCTTGTTCTTTCGAACTGTGTTGGCGCGAATAACTTCTTTGTTATCGCTATTTTTTGTTCTTTCGAACTGTGTTGGCGCGAATAACTTCTTGGTTATTGCTATTTTCTTGTTCTTTCGAGCTGTGTTGGCGCGAATAACTTCTTGGTTATTGCTATTTTCTTGTTCTTTCAAACTGTGTTGGCGCGAATAACTTCTTTGTTATCGCTATTTTTTGTTCTTTCGAACTGTGTTGGCGCGAACAACTCAATATTATTGCTACTTTCTTGCGCCCATGGGCGAATAGTACATCAGTTTGGGCAATAATATTTCCTGAGATTCTGTGCGTTCCATGTTCGTGGAATTTTGATGCCGCCCAATTCGCTAAGCTTGAAGGTGTTGGCGCCGACAACCTCTCGGATTAGGGACGGGCCTTCCCATGTTGAAGTGAGCTTGCCATGTTTGGGGTCGGGGCGGAAGTTCCTGCGTAGCACTTGATCTCCGAGTATCAGCTTGTGCGGGACTAGCTTCGCGTTGTAGTACTTGGCTACTTTCTCTTTTGTCGCGGCTAGCTTGATGGCCGCCAATTCTCGTCGCTCTTGTGCTAGCTCCAGGTCTAGCAGGCGTGCTTCATCGTTATCCGCCTCATCATACGCCGCGACCCTATAGGTTGGGGATGTTATCTCGATGGGTATCACCGCGTCAGTGCCGTAGGTGAGCGCGAACGGGGTTTCGCCCGTTGCCACTTTGAAAGTGGTGCGGTGCACCCATAACACCGTGTTGAGCTCGTCTGTCCAATTGCCTTTGGTTTCGTCTAGTCTCGTGTGGAGGCCGTGCATGATTGCTTTGTTGGCCGCCTCCGCTTGGCCATTGGCTTGGGGGTAGGCTACTGATGCGAACCTCGCAATGGCGCCCACCTGGTCGCAAAAGTCGATCACCTCTGCGCAGTCGAATTGCTTCCCGTGGTCGAAAATAAATGCATTGGGGACTCCAAAGCAGGCCAGGATGTTGCTTCTTAAGAAGCGTGTTACCTGATGTGCCGTTATCGAGGCCAATGCTTATGCCTCAATCCACTTGGTAAAGTAGTCGACCGCCACAATTATGTA